AGAACCTTCAGCCTTGAGGTTATATGAGGCCCTCTAGGTCCTCAAGTTCAGCTACATGTGGCCTCAAGGCCGAAGGTTCCCCACCCCTGAAAAGGATGGTACCATTAAATGAAAGGTTTTTTGTTTTTTGTTTTTTTTCTTTTAAGGATGGCAGAGACTTGGGCAGGTTTGTAGACAGCAAGGAAGGAGCAAAAATGGAAAGACTGAAAATTAGAGAAGGGATAATTGCCAGAGGAAGCTGCCAGAAAAGACAAGAGGAGATGAGCTAGGAAGAGGACGGGATTCAGGGTATGAGTAGGGTTGGCCTTGGAGTGAAGGGCTACTTCTACTTCCCCAACTAGATCAAATTCTTAACTTGGGGGTTTGTGAACTAGTTTTTCTTTCTTTAAAAAAATTTCTTGTTGTTTACAGTTTCAATGTAATTGGTTTCCTTTGTAATTCTATGCATTTTATTTTATGCATTTAAAAACACTGTGGGTAGGAGTTCCCTGGCCTCACTGGTTTGCTTTTGGAGTTCACAATAACAAAAAGTTTTAAGAATCTGCATTGTTGCTGTGGAGAAGATAATGGGGGGTGACAAGGGGTGACAAGATGTAAAATAGGGGAGAAATGGGAGCTCCAGGTCCATTGCCTAATTCTTCTCTCTCCCCCGTGTGCCACCCCCCCTCCCCCAGCCAATTGAGACCCTCTTGGGAGGGGGAGGAGGTGGTATGGGATTTATTAGCCCCTACTGAAGGAATGCAGAATTGTAGCCACCTCTGTTAGTTCAATATCTACTCGGGAATATAGCAGAAAGATGTCCCTTCAAGTCTTCCCTTGGGGTCAATTTCCACTCAATAGGACGATTATCTAGAAGACCTGGGCTTGTAGGGCTGGACTCCTGACCTAAATGGACATTATATCCTTAGGGGGAGTGGCCACCCACAGAACTGTAAACTGACTATTTAGAGAAACCTCAGTATGGCTATTTTCGGATGAGTTATAATATTTCTTTTTGTACCTTGCCTGGCTAGCCAAGGGGGCCCACTGCCACAGTCTTGGACCCACAGCCATGGCCTTCATTGCCCTTCTCTTCCCCCACTGTTCAGCCAGCTACAGAGCCCTTTTGTCCTGCCCGGGACTAAGAGTTCCTTATGATGCCAGCCAGGGGGGGCCTGGGTGTTTCCCTTACTCCTTACATGCCTCCAGCTTAAAGCAATCATAGCTAGCTCAGCAGGATGTCTGTGTTTGAGGGAGATAAGGGGATGGTGGTTAGGACTGCTGAACTCATTCCCCCCACAGCCCTGTTAATACTGTGTGTCGCCTTAGGCAGCTCATCTTTACTCCCCCCTTAGTATCTGAAGACACTAGCCTTTGTTGGTACTGGGACCAGGACGAGGACTCAACAACTCAGTCAACAAGTATTTATTAAATGCCTGCTAAATACTGGGAGAGAGGAGGAATGACGCAGGGCAGAAGTGTCAAATTGGGTCTGCTACATTCCCCAGTTCAGTCAGAACCAGATTAAAATGTAATTGGGAAATGTTTCACAAAAAATTTTTTAATTATAGTAAAACAGAGATAATGTAAATTTGTGGTTTTCTAATTTGACACCACTGCTGTAGTGGATAGAGTTGTTCAGTTAAATATGACTCTTTGTGACCCCATTTGGGGTTTCCTTGGTAAAGATATTGGAGTGGTTTGCCATTTCCTTCTCCAGCTTATTTTAGATGAGGAAATTGATGTAAACAGGGTTAAGTGACTCGCTCAGGGTCACTCAGGTAGCAAGGATCTGAGGCCAGGATTTGAACTCAGGTGTTCTTGACTCCAGTGCCCCAGCACTCTATCCTTCCACTGAGCCACCTGGCTGCCTAGTGGTTAGAGAGCCTTCCTCAAAGCCAGGAAGACCTGGGTTCAAGTCCTGCCTCTGACATATTGGCTGCATGACCCTCAGCAAATCACATACCCTCTTAGTGCTTCCAAGCTACTCTTCTAAGAGTTCCATAGAAGATACTTCTAAGTTTTAGAGAAGGTACTGATCTGTGTTGATAGAGGGCATTTCCTAGTTCCAGGAGTTCCCTATATTGATGAGATCACAGATCCCATCCCAGTCTGTATCCACTGATATGGTCCTGGTTGTGGCCCGGGCACTTAGGGATATACAAAGACTAAAATGAACTGGTCCCTGCCTAATACATTCTATTGGGAGGAGGTTTGATTTCTCTTTAACATTCCAGTGAAGTCTCTTCAAGGCCCCTGAGGACCTGACCTTCCTATTTCCTTTCTTCCATCCAAGAATCAATCAATAATCAATGAAGATTTGTTAAGCACCTACTATGTTCCAGGCACTAAGCTAAGCTCTGGAAAGAAGGGGAAGAGAGATTTTATCTAGATCAGAAATACTCAGCTGGAAGAAATGGTTTCCTTGGTAAAATGAGAGAGCTGAATTAAGATCCTTTCTGTCTCTAAAGTGGGGGATCAAGAGATGTAACTGCAAATAAACTATTCACAGGGGAGCTTTGAAGTGGCAAAGCTAATCGTAATGGGAGATTGATTATTCAGTAGGGTCCCCATAAGAAGGAGTTAAGTCACCAACATCTATCTCCCTTTAGAGATCTGCTAGCTTACTGTGATATAAATGCCCACTAAGCAGCTGTTGCCCATCGGTCACAGGAAGGATGTGACCTCTGCCCATGCTCAGGCCTGTCTGTGGTTTCCAATCCCTTGATATAGGGCCATGCAGGCAGGCTTTGCTTCTGATGCTGTTGTCTAGGCAAAATGGCCCTCTGCTGTGGGTTAAACAGAAGACCTTATATGATTGTTAGGGACCATCGACTCCAACTCCCTAATTTTTTACAAGTTAGGAAACTGAGGCAAGTTGCAGACCTTTGACTTGAACCTAGGTCTCTGACTCAGATTTGGTGTTCTTTCCATTTCACCGCTTGCTGGCCTCATCTGTGGCTCCCTGTCCCACCCAGCTTTCAAAAGAGACATCTCTGCCTAGTCACAGAACATATGATCTGCCCAGTGTCACACAGCTAATAAGGTCAAAGGGAAGCTGCAACTCCAAGTCTTCTCATGCCTATACTACATTTCTCAGTTGCTCACGGAGGTCTTTTTGGCAGCTATAGGAAAAATAGGAGAATTTAGGGCAGCTATGTGGTGTTGTGGATAGAACACTGGTCCTGCAGCCAGGAGGACTTGAATTCAGATCCAGCCCCAGGCACTACCTGTGTGACCCTGGGCAAATGACTTAACCCTGACTGCCTCCAAAGAAAAAAGAATTGCAGTCAGAGGGCTTAGATTCAAATCCTTTTTCTGCTGCTTACTCCGTGTGACATTGGGCAAATCATTTAACCTCTCCGGGCCTCAGTTTCCTCTTCTGTAAAATTTTACATGAAGGGGTTGAACTAAGATAGCCTCTGAGGTCTCTTTTGGTTCTAAATCTATGATCTCATGATTTCCTTCCATTCAATTCTACTACCATTTATTAAATGTTTACTGTGTGCAGGAAGGCAGAGAGAGAGGAGTTAAGATCCACAACTATAGTATGTATAACTATAGTACAAGGCAGAGTGGGGTGAGTACATGAGAAGTATAAAAACCAAAATGGAGGAGAGCACAAAGGAGGGAGGGTTCTTTACTAGCTGGGAAGGCTCACAGAAGACTTCCTGAAGGTGGTGGCCCTTGAGTTGGGCTTTAAAAATGAGTAAGAGGAAGGGGAATGGAAAGAGATTATTTCCATTGGGTCTAAGATCTTAATCTAAAATCTTTGTTCCAAAAGGATGGGATTTTTTTGGGTGGGGAACAAAAGATTGGTTAGAGTTTTACTTAAATGTAGACTTTAGTGTAGGAGGCAGGGAAAGAGTGGGAGATTAGGCTGGAAAGGTGGGAGGAGCCACATCGAGGGTCTTGAATACCAGGTCAAGGAATTTGGATTTTAACCTGTAGGCATTCAGGAATCACTGAAGATTTTTGAGTAGGAGAGTAACTGGACTGATTCCTTGTTCAGAAATCAGTGTGGGATGGATTTTTTGAGAGGGAGAAAATGGGCAGAGAAAAAGATGAATTTAGAATCGGAAGGCCTAGATTTGAATCTTGGCCTCTACTCACGATTTGTGTGACCTTGGGTGAGTCACTTCACTTTTGGCTTCAGTCTTTCCATTTGCAAAAGGAGTTTAGCTAGATGACCTCTGAGGTCCAACTTTAAATCCTGTGATCCTGTTAGAATGGAGGCGGAGAGAATCTAAGTTTAGAAACTAGTGCAGTAGAGAAGAGGGATAAGATGGAAGGAGTTTGGTTGAAGACAGTCAGGTGGAGTAACTACATATACTTGGAGATCAAAGAATAGAAGAGCATAAGCACCTCATTTTACACACGCCCCGCCCTTCTCGGTTTACAAAGTACTTTCCCTGCTCATGTCTCCGCCTTCACTTCAGCCTAGAACGGGCACGTTCAGGTCCAGTTGGGGCTATTGTACCAAGTTGGGGCGCGGGGGAGCTCTGATGGCCCCCAGCCTTCCCGTGGGAATGTAGGGGGACTCTGATAAGGTCTGAGGTGTGTGTGGGGAGATTGTTGCAAGTCCCATGAGAAGCCAAAATGTATCCCCTCCCCCACCCCAGCCCTTTCCACCTTGTGGGAAGTTAAGATTTGGAAGGGACGTTAGACTATGATTTTCACGCCTGGCCACGAGATATGTGACCTTGTGTAACTCTCTTTCCCTCTCTGAGCCTCAGTTTCCCCACAAACAAAATGACAAGAGTTGCACTGGACGATCCTCTAGGGCACTTCTAGCTCTGACCTTCTCCGCGGCTCCAAGCTGCCGCCAGTCCTCGCGGGTCTCGCTATAAGTGACAGGAGCAGCTGCCCCTTCTGCTCCCCCGCCCCGCCTCCTCCTCCTCCCCCTGGCCCCGCCCCGGAGAGGCCCCTCTCTCAGCTCGGCCACCGCCCCGGCCCCACCCGACCCTTTACACTGGGCTGCCGCTACCTCCCAGGAGAGCATAGGGGGTGGGGGCACAAGCCGCCTAGCCGAACCCGGCGGGGCGGGGGAAAACAGTCGCTAATCGGGACCGGTTAGACCGGTCGGATCCTCTGGGTAGAGTCTCTCATTGGGCCACCTCCTCCCAGCTGACCGGCCAGGGGCCGAGGGCCCGGGAAGGGGCCTCGGACCAGAGGCAGAGCCAGGATGGGGGGTGACCGGCAGCACTACTACGGCCAGCATGGTAGGTAAATAGCCCCCTTGGCCCTCCCCCCCACAGCCTCTTCCCCTGCCACGAAGGAAGCTGGCGGGGCTTCTACAGAGATCCCCAAGTGCTCTCCAGCGCCTCTGGATCCAGGAATGCAGGACGGAATGTGCTGCGGGGTGGGCTAATCTCCGGACTGCTCTGAACCCCCCTCCACATATTGTACCCTTCCCACCTGCAACTCCGCCTGGTGTGTGTAAGGAGGGGCGGGCCTGGAGATGCTCTGGGGCCTCTGAGCCCCTCGACTTAAGCTCAACCTCGTGCTGTCAGCCAGCTCCCCCCCTCTGGATCCCCAAATGCAGCGGGAGTCAGCACTGGGGCCAAGGCGCGGGGGCGGGTGATGGTGCTGCCTGTTTGAGCCCTTCTTGGCTCGCCTTGGTCCCTGCCTCCTCTTCTACTGCTCCCCCGCCTATTCCTTTTCCTCCCCTCAGAAGCATAGCTAAGCACATCGTGGAAGTGCTCCTTACAAGTCCAGTATGGGCCGAGGCGCCAGCAGGCACTTGGGTGGGTGGGTAGCAGTTCTGAATCGCCCTGGCTCCAGATTCAGCCTAGCAGTTGGTCCTCTTCTGGGCTGCACTCCCTTCCCCCACTCCCTTGACTTGTGTAGCTCTGCGTGTGTGTGGGGGGTGGGGTTTGTGTTAATTAAGATAATGTTAGTAATTAATGTCCTTTGAATCCCTAAGGGGGTTGGCCAGACCCTGGAGATCTGTGCGTGGGAGGCAGTGGAACAATGTCATTTTGTATTGGCTGCCCCACGTTTCTCTGCCAGGCCCTCTAGGACAACCCCCCCCCCCCCGCCCCCATTCCTCTTCCCTACTCCCTTCACTTCCTTGGGAGTAACTCCAGCAACCTCCCTGGTGAAAATTTTAAGGAGAAATCTTGGAGAAGGGATATCATTAGGATACTGTTAGGAATTTTTGACCAGACCTTCAGTGGCAGCCTGTCCTTCTGATTCTGGGTCACTCAGGGCCAGAACTGGGGAGGGGCTGAGGCCACTGGTTTCCCTGACTGGGCTTTGGGGTGTGTTTCTCAGGAACGCCTCAGAAATATGACCCAACATTCAAGGGCCCCATTTACAACAGGTGAGATTGGGTCTAATGGGGGGGAGGGAAGGGGTCCTTAGCTCCCTTCTGCTTAGCCCCTCCCTGGTCCTCAGTCCACCTGACTTCCAGTCTCTGTACCATGTTCATTTCCCAATACCCTAGTTCCCTTGGGTCCTGCTTGGCTCTTCCCTACCTCTATTCTTTTTTCGTTCAACAGCTTTTTATCCCCCTTTCTGGTCCACGGGCCCCATCCCTCTAGCATGCAAATGCTCTCTGTGTTTCATAGCCCTCTTGCTTCATCCCTGCCCCATTATTTTTGGGGGGTGGGGTGGGGTGGAGTTCTCACGGGGGCTGACTTCCTTTTCCTTTTTCAGGGGCTGCACCGATGTTATCTGCTGTGTGGCCTTATTCATAGCCATTGTGGGGTATGTGGCTGTGGGCATTATAGGTACGTAAGGTATGCCACAATCCAGGGCATGATTCTGCAATTTTGTATTTTTGGTATTTTGAGGGGTAAAAATGATTAATCTGACCATTTAATTCAACAGACATTTAAGCATCTACTGTGTGCTTGTGAATCCCCTGTGCTGAGTGCTGAGGAATATACAGGTGAAAAATTGTCAGGCAGATTACAATTTAAAGAAGCAGGTATATAAAGATGTGAACTAGTGAGTCACATTTTTTTAAGTGCCTACTCTGTGCCAGGCACTGTACTAAATATAGTTGCAAAGAAAGGCAAAAGACAGTTATTCCTTGTTCTCAAGGGACTGCAGTGCACAGTGGAGTCTCCCTTGGTCTAATAAGGGATGGGGGGTGTGTGTGTGTGTGTGTGTGTGTTGTTTTTCCTTCTCAAAGAGGACCGTGACATCAGGAAGGAGATGTCATGACTGGCAAGTGAATTGGATTTAAGTGAGGGAGGGCTGTGCAAAGTCACCAGCCTCGCTATCTCCTCCTCAGAAGCCATCTGGGTCCAGTGGTAAGATAGAGATCAGGACAACTGAAGATGGCTCCTGTGTATATTAAAGGCAAAAGAGAAGACCCAGTTAGATTGCAGTGAGAACTGAGATTACTTGCAGCTGAAGTGGGCAGGGAAGACTTCATGGAAGAGATAGCACCAGATTTGGGCCTTGAAGAACAGTAGGAAGGATTTCAGGAGGAAGAGCTGAGGAAAAAGGATACTATAGGCATGAGCTAACCTGTGGAATACACAGACACAATGAGACCTGGAAACAGCGGAGGGCTGTTTGGCTGATGGAGGGAGGGGGTCAGGGGAGGGGGGGAGAGAGAGAGAGAGAGAAAGAAAGAGAGGATTGGTAAAGTGCTTTGAGGTTCACTAAGTACTATCTTCACATCAACCCTGGGAGAGAGAGACAGTGGGAGACAGTGGTGAGATCACTGACTTCCAAGTCAGAGGACCATGTATTTGAATTTGTTTCTGCTACCACCTATCGTGTACGTGACCTATAAAATGGAGGGGTGTTGGGCTTCATAATCTTAAATGGCTCTTCTAGCTCAAAATTCTATGATTCTATCCCCATTTTATAGATGGGGGATACTGAAGCTCAGAGAGAGTAAGTTACTTAGCCTTCTTTTTTTTTAAGCTGTTCCTCATCATCCCTCCTCCCCTTGATATATAAAGGTCAAATACCCAGGTCCCCTGATTCCAAAGCCAATGACTTGAGCCTTTGGGGGGGGGCCATGGTGGTGGTGTGACAGCAGGGGAGGGGGAGCGTATGTTGAACTCAGTAGCTTTGACTTATCTGCAGCCTGGACCCACGGAGACCCCCGAAAGGTGATTTATCCTACTGATAGCCGTGGACAGTTCTGTGGACAGAAGGGGACACCTAATGAGTAGGTCTTATTCCTTGCTTCCCATAGCCCCCATCCTATTTCCCCTGACCTTGGCTCTTAGACTCTTCCAGCCTCTATCTTAGCAAGCGTGCTTATGGTGGGGGAGGGAAGTCCTGGGTCCTGTGCCATTTGGGGGGGGGGGGGGAGAAAGGGAACTGAACACTGTCACAGTCCTAGTGGACTGATACCCTCCCCCATCCCTTGCAATGCCTTCCAGGAACAAGCCTTTTTTGTTTTACTTCAACATCCTGAAATGTGCTAGTCCCTTGGTGCTCCTCGAGTTTCAGTGCCCAACTACACAGGTGACTGACCCAAACACACCCTATACTCAGGCCCCTTTTCCTGGCCCTGTTTCTGCAGGGGGAGGGGGGGGACTCAGAAGGACTCCCAGGGCCAGGTCTGTGGGTGGTGGCCACAGTGTCTGGTACAGGCTGGACGGAAAGCTAGACCTAGTCTTATTCCCTTTTTTCCTCAGACCTGCGTGGAGAAATGTCCGTCTCGATATCTTACCTATCTGCAAGCGTATACCCGCCCCCAGGACCTCGAATATTATAAACAGTTCTGTGTTCCAGGCTTTGGTGAAAGTAAAGTCAAGAAGGTATTTGGGGCAAAGGGAAGTGAGAACCTACCAGGAAAGTAGCTTTAGTGCCCAGGGTGAGGGCAAAAGGGTCTGACAATCATAGCCTGAAAGAGGCAGGGGATTGGAGTGGACCTGAAATTGAGCCCTGGATGTGAATCCCAGGTGTGTTGCTCACTAACCAGTGAGGGAAAAGAGCACTCACTGGCTCTGAGTTCAAATCCTACCCATGACTTTTATTATGCTTATGTGACCCTGGGCAAGTTATTTAACTGTCTTGTGCCTCATATATTTAAAAAAAAAAATGAAAGAGTTGGACTAGATGTCTTCTAAGATCCCTTCCAGCTCTGTTTATGTTTCCCATGCCCGCAGTGAACTTGACAATCACTTCCCTTCCAAGGGCCTGAGTTCCTGTATCTGTAAAATGTAGGCTGGGTGGGGAAGGAAGAAGTCTGACTAAATAAATATGAATAAGCCTAATCTGCATAGGGAGTGTTTGAGGTTAGAGAGTTTTCCTCACCCCCTACCTTATGGTGTAGGTGATGTCAGTATTATCCTCATTTTTGTGTATGTCTCTAGACCATGTGATTTCCTTGGTGTCAGGAAACTGGGGAAATTCTCCTCTGCTAAAGCAGCTCATCCTTCCTTCTGCAATTACTAGTCTGAGAGTGTAGCCCTGGGACACTGAGGTGAAGTGATAGCCAAGGGTCACAAGGCCAGTATTTCCCAGAGGTGAGACTGGACCCTTGTTTCCTAACTTTGAGGCTGGCTTTCTAGCCTCCTCTATTCCATGCTGCCTTTCATCTTCATTTTACAGATGAGGAAACTGAGACTTGGAGGGGTCAGTGATTTGCTCAGGCTTATGCAAAGTAGTGAGACCAGAATGTGAGTCTCAGGTCTGAAGGCCTGAGATCTGCTCCATTGGGTTCCTTAAGTGTCTTTCAGCTTTAAATGTTATTATACTTTGACTGTACCTCGGCCCTGAGGGCGTCTGACCTTGGGGGTTGAGAGAGGCTGAGGGTAGGGCTGTGGGGAGGATGGGACTCACTAACAGCCTGACCCCTCCCTTTTCATCTCTCCTCCCAATCTTCCTCCAGAGTCCAGTTGAGGTTCTTAGAGATGGAGACTGCCCTGCAGTACTCACACCCAGCAAACCTTGTGAGTGTTGGAACTAGAGAAGGGAGGAATGGGACTGTGCTTCTGGGTCAGAGAGGTCAGGGTAGATTCTGGCCTCTGACCATCCTTTCCAACAGTGGCTCGTCGCTGCCTCCCTGCCATTGAGACCCACAAAGGCGTGATCACTGTGGGCAATGAGACCACATTTGACGATGGCCGTGGCCAGAAGAGAAACGTATCGGAGCTGGTGGAGGGAGCCAAGTGAGGAGAGGGTGCCCTGAGCTTCTGAGGCCTTCTTTCTCTCTTCGCTAGGACTCAGTTTCCCCTCTTTTCTTCAGAGGGGAGGAAAGGGAGGGAAGGAGAGCTCCCTGGATCAGATCAGAATCACTCTCCCTGATGACCACATCCTTGATAGGGTCTTTGGGAGGGGTTGGAGGGGCCTAGCTGAGTTGAGACCATCCTCCTCCAAAATACTCCCCCTTACCTTCCCGACTTCTCCCTCCCAAACCATCCCAGGAAGGCAAATGTGGTGCTGGAGGCAAGGCAGCTGGCCATGCGAGTGTTTGAGGATTACACTGTATCCTGGTATTGGATTCTCATGTGAGTCTGGGCCCCAAGGCTGCCTGTGTCCCTGTAAGGAGCCCTTGGTGAATTGTAGGGGAATGACCATGGGGAGAGAGTGCACACCATAGGGCTGAGGAACTGGCATCTCTCTGTCTTTTCTCTTATTGTCCCTGTGCCTCTCATTCCCTTGGAAGGACCTTTGTCTAGACCTGGGGCTCAGTCTCTTGTCTCATGATGGTTGTGTCTGTGTCTCCAGCTGTCTTTGTATTTTTGGCTTCCTTTGGGGGAGAGGGGCAGGGAGTTGGTGTGGGCACAGTGCCTGGGAAGGGGGAGTGATGATCTGACTCACTCGTCTTCCTCCTGCCTCTTCCCTGAAACACCCCACAGTGGCTTGGTGATTGCCATGGCTCTGAGCCTCATCTTCATCGTCCTCCTTCGCTTCCTGGCTGGAATCATGGTCTGGATTATGATAGTCATGGTCATCTTGGTGCTAGGCTATGGTAAGGACCCAGGACTCTGAGGGTACCCCTTTCCCACATCTCCTAGAGAACTCTGACAATTCCAGAACTGACCCCCCCCCCCAGACTATCTGAGGTCCCCCAGTTCTCCCTAAGACTCTCTAATCCCTGCAATACCCCCTCTTGACTCTGCTTCCTCTGAGGATTTTCAGATTCTTTGAGACTCACGATCTCCCCCAGCCCCTCTGACTCCCCCTCCCAAGAACCCCCAATACCTTCCAGCAGGCCCTGTTCTAAGATACTCTTTTTGAGGTGTGTACCCTTAGCTTATAGACTCCTTTAAACTTTTTTAATTAATTAATTGTTTTATTAATTTATTTTGATTTTTTTAAAATTTATCAACAATCACTTCCATAAGCTTTTGAGTTTTAAATTTTTCTCCCCCTCTCTCCACCTCCCTCCCCAAGACATCGTGCAGTCTGATATAGGCTATACGTATACATTCCTATTAAACATATTTTCACATTACTCATGTAGTAAGGAAGAATTAGAACCAATAGAAGGAACCACCAGAAAGAGGAAACAAAACAAAGCAGAAGAAAAAAGAAAGAGCAAATAGTGTGCTTTGATCTGCATTCAAACTCCATAGTTCTTTCTTTGGATGTGGATAACACTTTCCATCATGAGACTTTTGGAGATGTCTTAGATCCTTGCATTGCTGAGAAGGGCTAAGTCTATCAAAGTTAGTCATCGAACAACATGGCTGTTAACTGTGTACAACATTCTCCTGGTTCTGCTCACTTCACTCAGCACCAGTCCATGCAAGTCTTTCCAGGTTTTTCTGAAGTCCACCTGCTCATCATTTCTTATAGCACAGTAGTATTCCATTACATTCATATACCACAACTTGTTCAGCCATTCCCCAACTAATGGGCATCCCCTCAATTTCCAAAGACTCCTTTAAGCTTGAGCTCAAGATCCCAGAATCACATTATCTCCTCCTCCCCCAGGAATCTTTCACTGTTACATGGAGTATTCTCGACTCCGAGGTGAAGCAGGCTCTGATGTCTCCATTGGGGACCTGGGCTTCCAGACTGACTTTCGGGTATATCTGCACCTGAGGCAAACCTGGCTGGCCTTCAGTGAGTGCTTACATCTGGTACCCCAATCCCCATCCAATCCTGACCCTGGGCCCCTCCCCACCTCCCTTACCTTAGATCTGCTCATCGAGCTTTATTGTTAGGGGTAAGGGAACAAGCATTTTAGCACCTGCTACGTGCTAGGCACTGTGCTAAGTGCTTTACAAATATTATCTCATGAAATAATATACCCTGGGAGGTTGGTGCTATTTTTATCCCCATTTTAGAGTTGAGGAAACCAAGGCAAATAGGGTAAGTAACTTGCCTAGGGTCACACTGCTAGTAAGTACCTGAGACTGGATTTGAATTCAGGTCTTCCTGGCTCCAGGTCCTGTTAGCATAGCCCAGACAGGGCTGGGAGCCAGGACTACTAAGGTAGGACTGCCCTCCCCAGACCCCATCTGCCCCACTATAGGCTTCTAAACTATAGAGGCCCTGGCTGCCCTTGCTTACTTATATACTGTCTTTGTGACCCTGGGCAAGTCCCTTGCCCTCTCTGGGCCTCTTTCCCCCATCTGTAAAGTGAAGGAGAGGAAGTTGGTTTCCCGTTCCATGATGTCTGAGGCCCCTTCCAGCCCTGTCCTTATGTGCACTATGATTCTGTGCTCCTTCCCAGCTGTGGGGGATGGGGTGGGCTGGCTCACCCTCCTTCCTTCCCATCCAAAGTGATCATCCTGTGTGTGCTGGAACTCATCATAATCCTCCTGCTCATCTTCCTGAGGAAACGCATCCTCATCGCCATTGCCCTCATTAAGGAGGCCAGCAGGTGACCAAGCTGGTAGTGAATGGGGTTCTGGGGGGGCTGTAGAGAGAGCTGGAGGGGATTAGGGAGGGAGCTGGGCTGGAGGGGATTGGGGAGGGAGCTGGGCTGGAGGGGATTGGGGACGGGGCTGGGCAGGGCAGGGCTGGAGGGGATAGGGGAGGGGGCTGGAGGGGATTGGGGAGGGGGCTGGGCAGAGGGGCTGAAGAGCAGACCAGGAGGAGCAAGAGCGGCTAGGGGGAGGTAGGACTTGGGGCATAGGTTGAGGAGGCTCCACAGCAAAAACAGCTCTAACCTTAAACCTCCTCTTTTTTTTGTTTCCCCAGGGCTGTGGGCTATGTCATGACCTCCCTGCTCTACCCACTTTTTACCTTTTTCCTCCTCTGCCTCTGTATTGCCTACTGGGCCAGCACTGCTGTGTATCCACCTGCCAACTCCCAGCTCTCCACTCTTCCCTCTGCCCAGTTGTCCATTTTCCTGCCCTCCCTTCTTTCTCTTTCTTTGGGACCTTGGTGAAAGAAGGGGTCCAGAGTCTTCCCTTATCCATGATCCCCAGGGATGGGGGTGGGTTTCCCTGAGCATGAGGGACTTGCCTCCCACCATGTACCTGGAGTTAAGAGCCCTTATCAAGCACCTAGCTTCCTGTCCACTTCCAATGAGGCTATCTACAAGGTCTTCAATGACACAGCCTGTGTAGCTGCTGGACAGACATGTAATCCAGAGGTGAGGGGCCAGTAAACCATGGTTGGGGGCAGGGAGCAGCCCTCCAGGGAGTCAGGGGCTTCCTGGCTAATCCCTACACCTCCTCCCCACTCCCCACACCAACCATCGCCTCCTACCCATTGTGACCTTGCCTCTGCCCATTTCCCTGCAGACTTTCCATACCTCAAACGTGACCCGATTGTGCCCTGATGCTCGATGCCAGTTTGCCTTCTATGGTGGGGAGACTGGCTATCACCGGGCGCTGCTCGGCCTGCAGATCTACAATGTCTTCATGTTCTTCTGGCTGGCAAACTTCGCACTGGCTTTGGGCCAGGTGACACTGGCCGGAGCCTTTGCCTCCTACTATTGGGCCATAAAAAAGCCAGACGACCTTCCTGCTTTTCCCCTCTTCTCCTCCTTCGGCAGGGCACTCAGGTCTGCAAGGGTTAGGGCTGGGACCAGGACCTTGGGCACCTACCTCCTCCAGGAAATGGGGAAGAGAACCAGAATAGGGGCTAGCACTGAAGGGGAAACTGAGGCGGGGGACCCCTGGCAATACAGAAACCCAGCTGACACTCCCTTACTTCCCTCCTACCCTAGTCCTATCCTCTCTAGGTTGTGTCCAGTTTGTAGAGGGGAAGGTCAAAGCCCACTTTGAAGGGAAAGGGCCTCATGCTCCCCTGCTTACCTTTCCCATCACAGCAGGAAATAACTGACATGCCACCTGTCCCCTGCCCAGGTACCACACAGGCTCCTTGGCCTTTGGCTCCCTCCTTCTGGCCATAGTTCAGGTAATCCGTGTGATACTCGAGTACCTGGATCAGCGGCTCAAAGGTGAGGGGGCTTTAGGGAGTCAGCTTTGAGGTGGGCTGGTGGGAGAATTGACAGGGTAAGGCCTGGCTTGGCAGCTGGTTCCTCTTGGGGTAATAGGGGTTAGGACAGGAGTCAGGCAGTAGAAGGGGCCACTTCTCATGCATTTTCTATTCTCTCCCCTTCAGCTGCAGAGAACAGGTTTGCCAAGTTCCTTATGACCTGTCTCAAGTGCTGCTTCTGGTGCCTGGAGAAATTCCTCAAATTCCTCAATAGGAATGCCTATATCATGGTGAGGGCCCCAGGAAACCTCTGCCTCCCTCACTAGCTCCTTCCCCCCATCCCCCCAACTGATCTCCTGCTTGTTCTCCCACATTCCTGTCTCAGCTACTCTTGTGTCACTCCAAGTAACCCTAGAGACCCTGAACTTGGTGTTTCCTTTCCCACTCCTGAGCCCCTCCCAGATATTTCCTCCTTCATCTACCCCAACTGGAAAACATGATGATCCTTTGAGGATATGTGGGCCTGCACTTGCGCTGAGGCCCTCCTCTTCCTCTTACCGTACAACCTTATACACACACAGATTGCCATCTATGGTACCAACTTCTGTACATCTGCCAAGAATGCCTTCTTCTTGCTCATGCGGAACATTGTTAGGTGAGAGCAGAAAACTCCCATCCTCCACCTTCTTTATGCCCTCCCTTCCTGGTTCCCTTAGCATTCCCATTCCTTGGATTTTCTTCCCTCTCCCTAGTCTGATTCTCACCTTCTCTCTTGCACCCCAGGGTAGCTGTCTTGGACAAAGTCACTGATTTCCTTTTCCTCTTGGGGAAACTTCTGGTTGTGGGGAGTGTTGGTAAGTCATACCTGCCCTTCCCCCAGTGCCCAGGGGAGAGCCCAGCCTTCTCTTCCTTGATTTTTCCATCCTTCACAGGGAAGAAAAGTAAAGTATGAATATGGGGGTGGGGGTTAGATTGGATCTTTTGGCCTCAATGAAGCCTACCTTCACTCTTGCTCTCTGGAGCCTGGGAGTGGGGAAGGCTCATGGGATGAGTGGGTATTTTGGAAGGGCTATCTCTGAATTCATTCTCCTAACTGCCCTGCCCCTGGGCTTCCTTAATTCTTCAGGAATTCTGGCATTCTTCTTCTTCACCCACCGAATCAAGATTGTACAGGACACAGCCCCCTCCCTCAACTACTACTGGGTTCCCATCCTGGTATGGACCTTTATGAGGCCTGGACAAGGGCTCAGAGCTTGTGGGGTCATCACACCTCATAGGATCCTAGACTGAGAGCTAGGAGGGAGCATAGTGGTCAACCAGCCAACCCACTCATTTTACTGATGAGCATAGTGAAGCCCAGGAGAGGAAAGGAACTGTCCAAGGTCACAGGTGTAGTCAACAAGTCAACAAGCATTGATTAATATTGATATGTAGGGAGTAAGGGACAGGGCCGGTATTCCAACTCAGAGCCTTCTAAGTTAGATGTTTAGTGACCTAGATTAGCCTCCATCATCCTCAGCACTACGCTGGGGATAGGGTTAAGGACAAAGCCAGAAAGACCATGGCCACTTCCTTTGGGGAGTTTACTAATTGGGAAAGGTAGGACTCAGGCACACAAAAAGATGATGAATCAGTCTAGAAGGTATTGGGGTAGGTTCCAGTTGTGAATACATATATTCTTGAGCTGGGAGATATCATTGACCCAGTTGGGTCAGGGTCACAAAGGGGATGGGATTTGAGCTGAGAAATTTCTCTTAGGGATTTGGGACCATTGGTATAGAGGAGTTCCCAGGAGACAAAAGTTCCTACACCAATACATTCTTAAAAAGTTGCCTAGAGCAAAGCTAGATTAATTGACTTGCCCACCTAATAGGTGTTAAGAAGCAGGATTTGAATTTGGGGGTCTTCTTGGCTTTGAGGAGCTCACTCCATTTTGGCATCTTCTCTGTCTTCTATTTGGGACCATAAAGTCATAAAGGTAGACCGGGGTTTGGCCAGAGGACTGTCCACTTTGTGTCCGGCTAATGAATTTGACTGGTTCATTAGGAATGAGGAGTTACTGAAGATTAGTGAGGAGAGGGCTGACTAGAGGAAAATTTATCTTAGGGAGCTGAATCTGGCAGCCTGTGCAGGATGGAGTTGGAAAGATGGCTGTGGAGGAGGCCAGGGACCAGGCATGTCTAGCCTGGGACAGGGACAATGACTAGGGCTGTCTCCTCCCTCCACAGACAGTCATCATCGGCTCCTACCTGATCGCTCATGGCTTCTTCAGTGTCTATGGGATGTGTGTGGACACTCTCTTCCTCTGTTTCTGTGAGTACCCGGGGGGCCTGGGGTACAGCTCTGCCACAGGGTCATGCTGCCCTGGCCTCTGCCTCTTCTGAGGCCTGTTTTCTGTGTGTGTGTGTGTGTGTGTGTGTGTGGTTTTTTTTTTCCCCTCCATAAGGGAATGGACAGGGACTAGACCCCAGCTCCCACCAGGGGCCCTGACCCCTCTGTTCCCCACCTTCCCATCCTGCTTCCTTCTCCCTACTTCACACTCACTCCCTGTTCCGTTGCTGCTGCCGCCGTTGCCCCCCCCTCCCCGTGCCCCTCTACTCCACGCTGCAGTTCTGACCATCTTCTTGACCTGCCCAACTCCCCATTGGGAGGGGCCACCCTGAGGGACTGAGTGCTTGGTGTTTCTGGCCTTGGTTGGGGAATCTGTAGCTGCCACTAACTGGTTTCTCCGTCTTTGTTTCTTTTCTCTCTCCCCCATGTCCCTGACCCTTCTCTGCTCCTCTGCTGCCTGGCTCCCCATGTCCCCTTGTCTTTCTCTCCCTGCCTGTTCCCCTCCTTGCCCTACCCCCCAATTCCTGGGGGTGGGGGGGGAGCTCAGGTGAGGACCTGGAGCGTAACGATGGCTCCCCCGAGCGTCCATACTTCATGTCCCCTGAGCTGAGAGACATCCTGCTGAAGGGGAATGCTGAGGCCGGGAAGAGTGAAGCACAGGAAGAATAGGGTGTTCTTGGGTGTGGGGGTGTTCTGGGCCCCCTCCTGACACATGGGGTGCCAGGGATATGTAATATATTTGCAGACTGGGAACCAGGCAAGGGCCCAAGGCTACTTTTCTCCTTTGGGATTGGTAGGGTGTGGACACGAAGACATGAAGGCTCCTTGGCAAAGGCAAAAGTAAAGGGAGAAGGCTGGTTTGTGTTTGTGTCTGGGATGAACTGTCAACCCCTAGGCCCCTGTCCTGCTCCTTGCCCCTCATCTCCCTCCTGCTGGCCAAAGCCCTCCCCATCTTCCCTGCCTCTCCCTCCTGCCCCCATCTCCTAAGGTCTGTGCCCTCTCATGAACCCCCCTCTCCTGGGCCCTCTCTCTGCAGTGGAGGACCTGGAGCGGAATGATGGCTCCGTGGAGCGGCCATACTTCATGTCTTCCAACCTGAAGAGGCTCTTAAACAAGACCAACAAGAAGCTAGCTGAAGCATAGGCCTCCTCCCAGGCCTCAATGGAAGGGAAGGGAGGAGGTGGTTTACATTAGGGTCAGTACACGCCATGGCCCCTGAGGGCCTCTGCCCCCACTAACCTCTGCCAACCCACGAGATGGAGCCTGAACCCCACTCACTGTCCCATGGGCTATTTGACAAGGGGGCCTCACTACTGCGCTATGGTTTACACTCTTCGGGTAGGGCAGCTAGTCCACCAACCCCTCCCCATCCTTGGGCCCATTCATCTGAGAGACTGCCAGTCACACACAGGCCCTCAGTGGCTTACTTTTTTTTGAGGGGGGAGGAGGAGAATTACTCTTGTGCTGAGAGATCTCCAAGAAAGTTGTCTCTTCACTCTTCTCTTGGTTCCCTGGTCAAGAAGGTTTTCTCCTTGTCGGCCCTTTTGGCTTGAGGCCAGGCTCTTTTTCTCTCACCCCGAGAAAGGCTGAGGAGGCAGGCTGAGCTGCCTGGATTCAGTCCTGGGATCGACCTGGCCCAAGAGGTCAGTTTGCAAGAGTGGGTGAAGGGGAATGTTAATAACTTATTCTGCTGCTTTAAAGATGACTTTTTTTAACCTACTCCTCTGGCCAATGTGTCCCTACCTGAAAAGGGTCTATTTTTCTGACTCATTTCATACTTGTGGGCGATAAAAAAAATCTCTTGAATTTTGCATATGTATTCCTGTTCTTAGGCTCGGAGGCTGAGGTTGGGTGTGGGGCATGGATGGAGTGTGTGTGTGTGTGTGTGTGTGTGTGTGTGTGTGTGTGTGTGTGAGAGACTGTACACCTGCTTTTGGCATGTTTCAAGCTGGTTTTTAGGGAGATAGTGAGTGGTGGTGGGGTGGGAGGCCCTTTGTTTTCCATCTTTCTCTCCCATCCAGGAAAACAAGGATCTGGTGGAGTGAGGCAGGCACAGGAAATGTTAGGTTGGGGAGGAGGATGAAAACTAATAGCCTTTTAATGGAAACCTGATGGAAGGGCTGGGAAGGTTCTCCTCCCTCTTTGTTGATATGGCTGGGATCCCAAGGGCATTCTCTTTATTTGAAAGGAGAAAGGCTGGCAAAGAAAGGTAGTCAGGAGGTGGTACAGGGCAAATGAGTCTTCTGTCTCTCCTCTTAGGCCCTAGGGCCAGGCTCAGCTAATCAGACTTGCTTTGTTTCACTTGCTTATGTGAATATAAGCTTTCCTGAGCCTAGTATTTTAATGTCCCCAAATCCTATCCAGTAAGCTTTATTTCATTTTCCCAAAGAGGAAGTATTTCCCAACCTTGGGGCCTTCCACATCCTGTGCCTGCTCTGAGACTTCTGTCCTCCCCTGGGTCCGATTGTCTGTGTGCCCCCTGATTCCCTACTCCCTATGTCTAACTGCATTCCAACCATTAATAAAAGTGCCTATTTGTACCAGGACACCAGGCCCTGTGATGCTTTGTTCTAAGTAGGGCTGGGAGGAAAAGGGAACCTGCCTCCAGTTCTGGGACCAGTGTCCCAGATCAACCCCAGGTTTGTGTGAGCTGAGCCTGGTAGAGACAGAGTTTGTGAGGCAGGAGGCTTGTCTTGCTTTTTACAGGCTCAGGTTTCCCCCCAAGGAGTTGGGAACAATTGTCCCCTATTAACTTTGAATCCCACATCCAGAAGAAAACACTAGGGGCCAACCTCACACTCCAATGCAAACTGAACCTAGTCAGTTCTGTGCAATGCCTCATGTTGGGCACTAAGGGAGATACAAGGTGAGTTTATAATTGGGTGAGGGTACATGTAAGCAAGCACCTGATGTCCCATCTTGATATTAATTCCTCACCTGGCTTGGCCATCATCCTATTAGCTAGCCACTAGGTGAAGACTTCCTTTCATCATGGTGACTCATGAAATAACTATGGAGAACTTGCCTTAAAACCAGGAAACCCTGGGTTCAAGATTTCCCTCTACTATGTACTGACTGAACCTCTTACTTTAGGCAACTCTAAGGGACAGAGAAAGTATATGGATAGTTTCCTCAGTAGGGGTTTCTTAGGCCGATGAAATCACAGGTCCAGACTAAAAAACAGACCTGCGTGCCCTTGCATGCACTCACACACACACACAACACCAAATGAAGAATACTGGTAGTCTAGGTTATGAAATGCAGTTAAATGGATAGCCCATAGAGCTGGTCAGTCAGCAAAAGTGTATCCTAAATGGGCAGAAGATGGACAATAAATTGGACCTAGAATTCAGGCTTGATGGCATTTAGAAAACTTGCATGTTGCTTCTTAAAAATGAACAAATCTCCCACCTCTTCCTTCATACACTGAAAAAATAAAAAGTTCTTGTAATAAATAAACCGTCAAGCAAAACAAAATCTGACATTGGCCACGTCCAAAAATTCAATGTGTGGATCTGTCCCAAGTCCTTCAACTCTCAGAAGGTGGGTGGCATGCTTCATCATGAGTCCTGGAGTCATGCTTGATCACTCACTGGATTGAACATTGCTCTTAAAAGTCTTTCAAAGTTGTTTTTCTTTACAGGGTTTGTTATATAAATTTTTCTCTTGCTCACTTCACTCAGCATCAGTTCATACAAGTCTCCCAAGGTTTCTCTGAACACTTTTCTTCATTTGTCATTGCGTAATAGTATTCCTTGGCATTCATAGACCATAATCTATTCAGTCATCCCCTCAAAACCAGTTCTTTATTGCCAGGAAATGCTACTATAAATAGCTGCAGTGCTTTTAATGAGCCCAAGCTTTGCCCTGAAATGACCCATATCTTTTAACAATAGTATTCTCAGAACTCCTGGTTCTCAGTAATAGAAAGCCATAGTCTTAAAAGGACTAAATAACAGTTACTTATAGGAAAATGGAGAGGCACATGGTGGGCCTGAGGTGGCTATAAGCAATGTATCACCAAGGATGAATTATGCATAAGAGGTTTAATGGATGACACTGGGGAGATCTATGGCAGGAAGAATAAGTGGGCTTGTCATGAAGAAAAGCCTGGGATAGCATACCCAACTGCCAACTTGAATGCTGTTGAAGTAGCCATGCAAAAGCAAGAGAGATCATGCCGGAAAGCCCCCAGAGTGCTGGGTGTATCCCCTAAAGAGAACTTGTAAGAGAATGTAGACAATCTGCAATATGGGTCCATATTGAGAAGACCTTATTTAAAACTGGTCACATCTAACAGTCACCAAGGCTTTGTTTTACTATAGCCAGGCACAATTGAGCAATGTGGATACGAAGAAGGGCAAAAACAAGGTCCCCCAAGGAGCCCACATTCTAATAGGGAGACAACATGCAAATCACTATGTGTGTACAAAAAATATTGTGTTAATAGGGGGCAGTCCCTGAGAAGGACCAGAATAGGCCTCCAGCAGGTGAGGTGAGATTTGGGCTAAATTCTGAAGGAAGTTAGAAAAGTGCTGAGGCATTCCAGAGAATGACATTCTAGGCATGAGGGACTGTAGGTAGAGGGGCATGGAGTTGGGAGATGGGAGTGTCTTGTGCAAGGAGCAGCAGATTGGAAAGGTAGGAAGGGATTGTAAAGGGCTTTAAAATACCAAACAGGACTTTCTGTCTGATCCTGGAGGTAATAGGGAGCCATTGGAATTTATTGAGTAGGGTGAGTGAGATGGTTGGTGAGACATGTATCTAGGAAATCATTTTGGATGCTAAGTAGATTGTAATAAGAGATGTGAAGCAGGGAAGACTCTTGCAATGGTCCAGATGAGGGGTGGGGAAGGCCTAGCTTAGGGTAGTTACTGTGTGGGTAGGGAAGGGGATGCATGTGAGAGATGCTGTGAAGGTAGAAAGAGCCAGCCCAGACAACAGATTGGTTATGTGGGGTGAAGGAGAGGGAAGAGTCCAGAATGACACAGAGGTTCAGAGCCTTGGTGACTGGGAGTATAGTTTCCTTGGCAATAACTGGAAAGTTGGGAAAGGTTTGGGAGGAAAGAGAATAAACTTTGTTTTGGATGTGCTGAGTTTGAGATGTCTGTGGGACATCTGGTCTGAGAGGTCCAAGCTATTGATGGGGGAACGAGTTCAAGAGAAAGACTAGGAGGGAAAAGGACTTGTGACAAAGTCTTGGGGAACACTCATGGTTAAGGGCATGTCCTAGATGAAGATCCAGTAAAGGAGACTTTGAAAGAGCATTCAGAAGGGTAGGAGAAGAACTGGGAGAGAACTCAAAAAAAACCTAGAGAGAATATCTCAGAGGGGATGGCATTTACCAGTGTCAGCAGCTGGGTGGTGCAGTGAATAAGAGCGCTAAGTCTAACTTCAGGAAGACCCGAATTCAAATTTGGTCCCAGATACTTCCTAGCTGTGTGGCCCTGGGCCAGTCACTTAACCTTTGTTTACCTCAGTTTCCTCATCTGTAAAATGGGGATAATAATAGCACCTATCTCCCAGGGTTATTATGAGTATCAAATAAGATAATGTAATGCATTATATAGATACTAGCTACTAAAGGCTGAAGAAAAATCAAGCAGGATGAGGATTATAACTTTGAAGATAGCAGTTTCATGTGATAATGAGGTCAGCAGCTAGACTGCAGAAGTTTTGCAAGTGGGCAAGAGGAGAGGAAGTGGCCTGTAGTACAGATAATTTTCTCAAGCAATTTAAAAAGAAAAGGAGAAATATCAGATGATGGCTAGCAGGGATGGTCAGATCAAGGGGTTTTAAGGATGGGGAAAACATGGATGGGTGTGCTGCAGGGATGGAGCCAGTAGATAGGAAAAAACTGAAGTTTAGAGAGTAGGGATGATGGTGGGGATATCTGCTAGAAAAGATGGGAAAGGAAAGGATTAAGGGTGCATGTAGAGGGGTGGCTTTGGCAAGAAGAGCCACCTCTTTATCAGAAACAGGTGTGACAGAGGGAAACAGTGGAAGATGTCAGTGATATGAGATGAAGAGAAAAGAGAAAACCTCAACTTTTTTTTTTTTGGGTGAAGTAGGAAATAAGGAACTCAGTTGAGAGGATGAGAAAAGGAGGTAATATGGGAGGCCTGCAAAGCAAGAAGGATTGGAATAGCTGCTGAGGTGAGTGAGCTATGAATTGATTAGAGAGGTGTGTAAAAGGACTGCCTTGCTGCAGTGAAGGCCCAGCCAAAATCATGTAACATCAGTTGTGGTGGACCCAGTCAGCAGGGTTTCATGATTATTCAGTGGCATTTGAATCAGAGTGAAGTATGAGGATTGTGGGAGTGGGTCAGCTGACTGGATCAGCAGGATTTCGTGACTCTCTCCAACTTTGTTCAGTGGCATTTGAACCAGAGTGAAGGAGAAATGGTGGGAGTGATCCAGAGTTGGGGTTTGTCAAGGTGCAGTTAGCCATAGGACAAGGAATAGCAGAGTGTAGAGGATAGTGTAAAGTTGAACTGGTTCATCAAGGTGTTTAGATTGAGAAGGGAAGAGCCAGTGTAGAGGGACAGAATTGAAGAGTGGGCAGTTTGGAGGTCTTGACAGGGTTAGGAGTTCTAAAGTACAAAGAATGGTGGAATGATAAAAGATTCCAAAAAGGGAATTTCAGAGTCTATTGGAAACAGAACTGTTGCGGGTGATGGCAAGATGAGGGACATGGCCATCTTTATGTTTATCAGAAGTGGATTGGAGGAATAGATCGTGGAAATAAGTAAATTGAGGAACCGTGAAATTAGATATTTGAGGGAGCCTTGATATGTTGAAATCTGACAGTATAAAGACAGGAATTATGGTAGAAAGGAAAGCTGTGAGTCAGGCAATAAACTCATTTATTGTCCTAGACACCTGTAGTTTATAGCTGATATGTTGGTTTTGCCACAACAGATACCTGAAACAGGTAGGATGTGAACTTTATTTTTTTTTAACAGAGGTACAAACCAGGGGGTGTGAGAGTTCAAGGGCTAAAAAAGATTCCTATTGGCTGAGTACAAAGAAAGCTTTTTGGAAGTGGCACTGTGACTCCCATCACTGCTGGTTACTAGGACCCCTTTATGCGGATGATTCTCACATTTATCTGTCGAGCTCTGAATTCTCCCCTGACCTCCAGTCTTGCCTCTTCAACTGCCTATTGAACACCTTAAACTCACCATGTCCAAAATTGAACAAATTACTTTTCACCCCCAACTGTTTCCTCTTCCAAACTCCCCTAATAATGTGGATGACACCACCACCCTCCCAGGTACAAAACCTAGTTGTCCCTCCTTGAGTCTCCATTCTTTCATTCCCCATAACCAATCTGTTGGCAAATCTCATCAATTCTACCGCCATAACATCTCTATGAGCGCCTCCCGTCCCCCTCGAAACCCTCTGATACTGCCAATCACTGTGGTGTAGACCCTTATGACTTCACATCTGGACTACTGAAATAGCCCTTCTGGCTGGTCTCCCTACTCTAGTCTATTCTCCACTTGGGTGCCATGGTGATCTTCCCAAATCCCAGGATTGACAAATCATGTGACTCTCCTGTTCAACAAATTCCATTGGCTGCCTATTGCCTCCTGGATTAGACATAAAAAAACCCCCAAAAAACCATGGCTTTTAAAGCTCTTCGTAACCTGGCCCCTTCCTACAATTTTCTCTCTGACGCTACCTCCGACGTATCTTGTGATATCCTTTGTATATACACGTTTGCGTGTTGTAACCTCCATTTTAATAGGAGTCCCTGAAGGCAGGGACCGTTCATTCTTTGTATTATCAGAGCGGTTGTGATAACATTAGATATGATGACGTATACACGTAGTAATTTGAGGTTTGCAAAGTGATTTCTATGTGTTAACTCGTTTCCCACACTTAGCCCAGCGTTTGGTACAAGGTAAACGCTTAAATGCTTGTTGACTGAGTAGGCTCCTGGAATCCTGTCCCAAATATGGGGGGTTAGAAGTTAGAATCATCACTGCCACTACCCAGTTCTCCTCTAGATTGTAAGACTAAGACTGGAGATTTTGAAAGCTCATTGATGCCCCCTGGCGGCAGTTTTAATTCAGATATCGACTATGATGTGTTTTCCCATTTGTGCCCTCTAATAGTTCTTAAAAAGGTATAACCTCAAAAAAAGACCCTTTACTTTCATCTTACAACTCTTGTTCCCAATTTTCAGCCCCAACCTAAGCTCCCATAATTTTAGGTATTTTACTGGTCAGAGGCTTAATCTGGACTGGAAAATTCAACTGTTCACTATCACCTTATTTTGAATGTTTCTACCTTTCCTTTCTAATTAAAAAAAATCCCTGGAGAGCTATCTTGTTTACCCTTAGTTTCTCCTGCCTTTAATCACCTTTCCTCCCCTAGCCCCACAACATTTTCCTTTGACCTGTGGTCTTGCTCAACTTTCCTTAACTGAATGAAAAATACTTAAGTGATTGTGTACAAAGCACACTGGAATACATACAAAGAGAAATGCAAGCTTGTCCTTGCCCTCAAAGAGCATATATTCGAACAGAAGACAACACATAGAAGTTTTAGCTCCAAGATATATGGAAAGGTCCTGTGGTTCTTAGGGTTACAGAGGTCAAGGCGATGGTAACAGATCCTCTCTAATATCATTCCTGTTACTAAAATCAGATGTTTCCGATGCTGGAACTCTCTTCTTTGGGTCTCTAGTAGCTCCGGCTGATGAGGGAAGAACCAAGAACTGCATTGCCACCAAAGTTTTTTCACCTGCCTGTGGCTCCAAGGGCTCGTGGTCTGCAGGGGCTGTACCTGTTTCTCTTTCCCATCCCCAGGGCTCTTTGGCTTCTCTGCCTTTGGGTGGCCATTGTTGAGCAGAGGATGTTGGGACTGGCGATGGCAAGCCCCTTTGTCTCTCACCAAGGCTTCCCCCCAGGATTCTGGGCTGCCTCTACCAGGACTGGAGGGGAGGTGGTTTGATCTAAATGGCACATGCTGCCTCTTGTCTCTTCCTTAAGGTGTCTGCTGCTTCAGGCAGACTGGCTTACCATATCAAAAAGGAGGCAAATAAGAGTGGGGAAGAGAAAAAACCTCTCTCGTGGTTTTACAATACCAGGACCATACAGTTGAGAGACATGTTGAAGTGGAAAGAAAACTGGTCTTGGAAATTCAAAAGATCCTTAGGCTCTAATCCTGGCACTACATGGCCACGGAAAAATCTGATTCATTTTTCTGAGCCTCAGTTTCCTCCTCTGTAAAACAGGGATCATATCCATAGTACCTACCTTACCATGTTATTCTGAAGAACAAATTAGATAATGTATGTAGAGTACCATGTAGGATGTACAAATGCCAGCTGTTATTAAGTAGAAGTAGAAGGGCCCTTGGAAGCCCTCTAGCTCATTCCTTTGTTTTACAGATGAGACTACTGATGCAGAAAGGCTTTCTTGACAAAGATCACAACAGTAATAAGAAGCAGAGCCATCAGGATTCAGAGCTAGGCAATCTGACTCCACTAGTCCTTCCTAGACCAGAGCATCCACACTCCTCCAGCCTTGATCCTGGGTCTTCCTAGGTCTTCTGAATGAACACAGGGGGAACCAAAGGGCTAGTAAGGGGTTCTGTTCTCCCAGAGCAAAAGTGGCACGTGTACACACTAGGGCAAGCTGTGTGGGAATCCCCAGGCACTTACCCAGGTGAGAGGAGTACCACTTTGGAAACAATAAGTTTTACCCTAGTGAGAACTCTCACCTGTCCTTACTGGTTTTACATAGAGCAATAGAGGCTGTCTCAGGCCTGCAAATGGAAAATATTACCAAGTAAGGGGTAAGAAATAGGGCCATACTGAGTAGGAATTATTTCATAAAGAAATCAAACCGCCTTCTCTGTTTCAAGGTGCGGAATATAAGGAATGAGATGGCAACCCTCTCCATACTAGAAGATAATGAAGGTTTACTGTGCAATGTTTTAAAACACACTGAGATGAGAAGTGCCTTTGTGACTGCCGATGAAAGAAAAAAACAGAAAAGACCTAGGCTGAGTTCATTGAAGAACTTTGCTAGGTACAGAAATGACTACGAACATCTTGTATTTGGACTAGAAGAAGTTACGGTCCTCTTAACTCTAAAAGCCTGCAGCTGTCTGCAATTGCTAATGCAAATTTAATGGCAAAATCACAGTTAATGAAAGGCAAGAGTTTTGTCGAACTGCTGCTCTAGTACATCCTGTGTTTGGAAAAATGGAGCCTCTCCAGGGCACTACATAGGGCAACCTTTCTCCATAAAGTCCACCCTCCCTTCCCCCCATGCCTTCCCCTCTCAGAGTATCTTCCATTTACTCAGTACTTATCTTTTATCGGTTGTAGACGGATCTCCCTCAGAAGGTGAGCTCTTTGAAGGCTGGCATTTTCTTTTTGCTTTCCTTTGAATCCTTGGCAATTATACTGTGCCTGGCCCATAATGATCAAGTAATAAATGCTTAACTTGCCTTAATTATAAATAGAAAAAAGGTCGAGGGAGACCCCTGTGGGGCATCAGGATGGGGGGGAGGTACTGGATTAGTATGGTGGCATTAAGACAATTTCCACCTTTTCCCAACACCTCAAAGTGTCTAAACTCCTTATCTTATATCCTAAATCTGCCCTTCCACCCTGAGCTATTCTATTTATGGGTAAAACCACAGAACATTACAATTGGAAGGGGCCTTAGAGCAGGTGTTAGGCGCTCTTAAGAGAAAAAGATCTGGATCAAACACTGCACTGAATTGATGAGAGATGGGTGGGATTGTCAAGCAGTAAGTAGTGGGAGGTTAATTATTTTGTACTTCTCTTCAGCTCAAGAGAAAAAAAAAAAGATGGGGATTGCTAGGTCAGAGTGCAATGCATTCTGTGGTAGCGGCAAGTAAATCACTAAAACAGTAGATGATCGTCAAGGGAAACCAGTGCAGGGTAAAGGTACTAGGAAAATGGAGACAGGTCAAAGAATCAGAGGGTTGAGAGAAGCATGAAAAGTAGCTTGCCTAAGTGGGAGACAAGGCTCCCAATCCCCTCACACTCGGGGTCTGAGAGTTTGAGGAGCCCTTGAGCACTCTAAAGGGTAACTACCAAACACGATGTTCAGGCTGCTAAGGGACTACACAGTCTGTTCCGGTGGAGTCTCACAACCACCGTGTGAAGGTCGAGTCAAAAAGGGTTCTAGTGAGGGCTCCCTCCCCCAGTACAGATTGGCTCCCACTCTGCACTTTACAGTCTTACACAGTTGCCTGGGGCCCAGAAAGGTTAAATGATTAGCCGAGGGTCGCACAGCCAGCTTGTCAGAGGCCAAGTCTGAACCTAGGGTCTCCGGACCCCTGAGGCTGGCTCTCTAGCCTACTCCACAATGTCGCCATCTTCATTTTAAAGAGAAATGAAGTGTCCTGTCCAAGGCCACAAAGCTTGCAAGTGTCAGAGGCAGAATTTGAACTCAGGGTTTCCTGACTCCAGCCACGCGGCGAAATTTGAAGGTGGAGGGTTCAGGCTGGGAGTCCTCTGGGACTCCCATCAGCCTTCCTCCTTGGCTGGGTTTCCTCACCCTGTTCTGAATGAGTAGATTTGGACTCACGGGAGTCGTTTAAAATTCTTGCTCTGATGCTTCCTGGATGAGTGACCCTAGACAAGTCGATAGCCCTCTCTGGACCTCGGTTTTCTCGTCTGTGAAAAGCAGGGGCTGAATGCGACGATCGCTCGGATGGCCGGAGCAGTGCCTTCATTCTCAGCGGCTGCCGCAGTGCCGAGAGCTGAGAACTCGACTTTGAAAGCTGGGGCGGAGTCTCATGCCCTCTACCCTCCAGCCTCCAGAGCGTCCCTCAGGCTGGTGCGTCTGGGTCTGCGCTTGCGCCGCTCTGAATCCGTGATGGCGGCCCCACTGGAACGTATGCCTCTTGTCACGTGACCACGGCAACTCCCGGCAACCAGCCCAACATAGGGTAGAGAAAAAACGTACCACTAACATGTGACCAGAAACGCACGGGACGCCACAGGCGCCAGTCACTGTCACGTGTCACGGACCACGTTTCCCCCCCTAACCCCCCCGCCCTCACCTCTACGAAGGGTCCCTGGCCGAGGAGCCTGCGCGGAGGAAAGTGGAGAGAAAAGGGGGCGGGGCGCCTTCGGTCACGTGCCCCCATCTTTCCGGCGCGCGCTCCCGCCCGCCTGCCCGCCCGCTCGCCCCCGGTCCCGGCTCCTCCTCCTCCTCTCGCCATTGCAGTCGGACAGAACAGCCCAGCGCACCGCGTGGTTGGGGGACCCGGGGGCTGTCGCTGGAGGAGGCAGCGGCGGCGGCGGCTGCTGCTGCTGGCGAGGGGGTGCCGACAAGGTAAGGGCGGGCCCTGGCGGGGCTCTCCTCCTTCCTCCTCCCCCCTGCGCACGGCGGCCCAGCGGCCTCCCCCCGGGCCCGGTCCCCCGCGGGCGTGAGGCAGGGAGCCGGGGGTCCCTGACGCGCCGTGCGGCGCCCCCGGGGGAGCGGCGCGGCCGCTGCCTCTGGGCCCTGGAGCCGGCCTTAGTCTCCGCCCGCCCCTCGCCGCCGGGCCCCCTCCCCCATCCCCGGCCTCGCTCCCGCGCTCGGCCGTTACTCTCCCCCATTGTGCCGAGGAAACAAAATGGCGGCGGTGAGGCCCCGGTGCGCGCGCATGTTTCCTTCATCCTCACGCCCCCCAGCCCCGTGCCCGGCGGAACCTCCCGCCGGTGTCGGCGGCATGCGCGTGCTGGCCCCGCACCCTGCCTCCTCTCACGGGCCGGGCTCGGCCCCGCCGGGGAGGGCGTGCGTGCGTGCGTGCCAGCGGGCGGGCTGCTTGCCGGCGCGGCCTCCGGCTTTGTCCTCCGTCCACGCCCCCCCCCCATGGCCGCTCCTCCGGGACCCGCGGGCACGGCGGGGATCCCGCCTGCCCCCCCCCCCGGGGCGGTAGCTTGGTCCATCTCCTCGGCCGGGGCCTGTGCCCTAGGCGCTCTGCGCGGGCCCGCGGCACACGCCCCTTTTTGGTAGAGCATCCCCACCGGCTACTCCCATTATCCTTGATCCGTGTCGCGGCCTTGCCCAGTCCCGTGTGTGGGCACCGGTGGCAGGTTGGACGATAGCAGGCACGGGAGCGTGGGCCGCTGGAGGAGGCGATTCTCGCCTGGGCCCTTGTGCGTATTGTGACGGGCCAGGGTTCGCTATGGCCTGGTCTCCTCCGAGTCTCATCGTTGCCTGTTTTGAGGTGATGGAGGGGTTGCGTTTTTGTCTTGTTGGAAGCTGCCAGTGGTCTTTTTGGTGAATGCTGCAGCCTTCTTTGTCCTCTTCGGGCGCGTGGGTGCTCCCTTAGGTGCTCTGAGCGGAGCCTTGAGTGGCCTATGGTCTTTCATCTCCATACGGGTATTATGTTTGCAGATCTTGTCCATGCTGCTTCTGAAAAGTGAGGTGGGATGGGGAAGGACTGGGGTGTATGTATGTCTAACGATTTTTTTTTCCTGTAGTGAGAGAAAAGGGAGATAAATAATTGGCTTTAGGGAAACTTATGCATACCCCACTGGAATCTCTTCCTCCCCACCTCAAAAAAAAATAAAAGGAAAAGAATCAATAGTAATGGGTGCCGAGATTGTTAAGCAAGTCGTCTGGGAGACTGAACTGGGGATTTGATTTAAGTCTTCCATTGTTCCGTCATAGATTTCACTGATTTGAAATTTTCTTACATTTTTAAGTTTAGATTGGTGAGAAGTTGTGTTTCCTACATGTTTGAAATTTCATGTTCAATCAGGCTGTTAGGATGCTAAGGTACCAAATTTGGTCTTGCAGCATCTCTGATGATGAAGTGTGGAAATCAAGAATAGTAAAAAGGCTAATTCAAAGATGTGAGAGGAAGAAATTCTCATACAACTTTTCTATTATTTTGTAGAACTGCATCATTGTCTTTGCCCATCTTTAATCATTTGCAAAAACAATCTCAGCTCTTGACCAACTACCCACAGTTTTCAGAAATTGCAAATGAAATCAGATTGCCTTTTGTTCTCCACCTAAATGCTGGACCAATCTCTGCAGTAAGTGTAGAACCTGGCCTCCCTTACATCAGGTTCAGGTTCCCCTGCCCTACAGAAGCTTGGGATCTAAAAGGGCTTAGTGGCTTGTGAATCACTGCAACTGAACTGTCCTTAATCATGTGGAAGGATTCTCACTGAAGGAAAATGGCCCTAGGCAGCAATTTCTTTAGTTGTTTCCAGTGTATTCACAATTCTGCAGGCTTTTCTGTGGACTGTTGGAATCAAATTGTTTTTTTCTCACATTTAAATATTTGTTTTCAAGTGGTATGTTGGCAATATTAGTGTTAATATTTTGATTTTCCAGTGTCTCAGAATGTGGTGATTTTCTGTGTATTCCATCTAAGCATCTACTTCTGATAGACTAGAGGAGGAATTGGAGGAAGAGCAAGTGTTAGGAGAGAGTTCCCTGAGAATAGCATCTTCCTTATTTGTGGTAACATATCATCTGTCTGTCCACTTTTTCTCTGGTTGGTCTTTAGCAGAACTTGAATATTGAGAGTGAAATTTGCTTTTAAAGTTTGGTTTAGGCTGGTTACCTAACTTCTACATGGACCCTGTGTCCTTACCTAATTTGTTCAAATTCTGTCATTCACTGCTTCAGATAAAAATTTGTTCTTTGTGATGTGTGGCATACAAACCTTTGTATCTCAGGATACAAAACTGTGTCTCTTGATCCCAAGGCTAGCGGTCTTTTCTTCTATACAAAAGTTCTACCTCTCAACTGATGGTATGGGCTTCATGTTTCTTGCTACAGTTTTTGGTTGCTTAGGCTACAATAACTTTAGCTTATCCTTTTTTTTTTAAGGTAAGTGGATGTCTACTTCTGCCAGGCATGAAAATGTTAATAGAAATAATGCTTCTAAACATGAGTTAGGTGTATTTGTTTTATTCATCCTCATCAGTTAATATTAATTTTGTGTCTCCAAGGGTATGTGATCTGTTAAATATCCAGAGACTCTTCCAAGACAGTTCTTTACAGGTATTACAGTATAGTTGGCAAGTGGTAGAGTTAAAACAGAATTAGAATGATTACTTTTCTTAAGTGTCTGTGAAAAGGGATGGCCAATTGAATTCTCCCTTTCTACCTCCCATTCCCCATCTTCATGGCTTAAAACTTAAAAACTTAGAGTTACAGCTTTCAGTTACTAAGGCTGCATTAAAGGCTGTCTTTTATTGTTTACTATGTCTGATATATCCTTAGGGAAATGTGTAATGGTAATAGTTGAAATTAATCTTTCTTATTAAGTCATTTTAACATATGCAAAATGCCTTCACATTCAAATTAAGAAAAAGCTGTACTCTGGACATTTGAAATGTTGAATCATTTCATTAGAGCTAGTTCCATTGAAAATTTGAATTCTGAAATTATTTCTTTGAATGATACTTATTCTTAGGCTTACTTTAAGTGATTCTGGTTAGAATTAATGGTTGTCAGTCAGCAAGCATTTCAGTGCCTACTATGTGGCCTTCAGGCATTGTTGCTAAGCAATAGGGATATATAGAAAGGCAGAGGTCCTTGCCCTCAACAAACTCACATTCTAGTGGGGGAGACAAGTATGCAAACAATGCTGCACATACAATCAACATATACGGTGTAAAGGGAGGCTAGAAATGAAGAGTCAACTCTTGGTTATTTTATGATGGATTATTAGTTCACTTGATTCTTTCTCTCTCTTTTTTTTTTTTTTCCCTCTCCCTGCTGACTTTTCACTTTTCTTTCCCACCACTGTCAGAAAGATGGCTTGGATAAATTAAATGAGATAGAGCACATAGAATTCATTTTTGCTTCTTCTTAGTTTAATAGTTTTGTACTCCAAGATGAGAACTACTGGCTCAAAGGGGATTTTTGCATTTTCTGTGGCTTTTAGCAATCACATATTATATTCCAGTGACTTTAGCCATAGTAATAAAAAATTAGCACTGCTATTGTTTGGGACCTGACTGTAGTGAGAGGTAAGTGAAAGAGATTGCTGGTTAGTTGTTACATCATAATAAACAGGCAATTCCTTCTTAATAAATAGAAGATGTTAAAATAGTTTTTAAAATGTTTTACACTGAATTAGTTATGTGAAAATATTTATGCAAGGGCTTCATATCATAATCTTACTGCCTATATTTATACTGGATCTTAAGTTTACTAAGTGGCATTGATACTCAGTTTCCAAGTTGACACCTTCAAATTTGTTAAGTCAATTAAATTATTTTCAGTTCAACTTTTCATAAAGTCTGAAGATGTAAAACAATTATTACTTAATTTCACTGGTTGGTCAAAGATGGATAAATGGGGTTTGCTTGGGTTAATGTAAAGTCCAGGGCTTAGTGCTTATTGAATTGAAACTTAATCCCTCTGGGATTTGTATTGACTCCCTGACCGTTATTGATTGATTGACTCCCTGGCCCTTGATTGATCCATTATTTCATTAGAGTGGAAATTCTGGTCACTGATGTATAGTGCTGCCCTAACTAGAATGCTGGTATTGGTAGAAGCATGTTTAAAGAGTTGCTGTGGCGAAAAGAAAAAAAAAATCATCACCCTTCATCCAATTTGTGAATTTATCCAAATTTAATTAAGTTGGTTCTTGGACATCCTACATTTAAGCCATTACTGAACCCTCTACCTGAAGCCTTTCCAGCTTGGTGTAGAACTTAGCAGGTTGTGCTCAGATGATACAAGGTTTAAGAATCTAGGGTCAAAATTCCCCCTTTCTCCCATCCCAAACCTCAACCACCTAGGAACATCCCCATACCACAGTGATCAGAGGAAAACTTATTAAACGTAACTAGATTTTTATTAAATATAACAATTTACATTTGTATAGCTTTAAAGTTTACAAAGTACTTTCCTTGCAGTGATGCTAGGTAGGTAATGTAACTTTGAAAACGTGTGATTTTCATTTTGTAGATGAAGAAACAGATTTGGAGGACTTGCCTGGGGTGGCACAGTTATTAAGTGTTGGAGCCTTGATGATGCCAATATAGTTCTTTCCTGACCCTAAGTCCAGCGTACTTTTTACCCACTATTATACCTTCAACTGATTTTTATTTCGAATGTTCTCCGGTGGCCCTGGCTGATGTACAGGGCAGGGTTGGTGTAGGAAACTTCTGAAGTGAGAATACAGGAAAATGTTCCATTTGAAGAACCAAGAATCTCCTCTTTTTAACGTCAAGTTGAAAGAATCTCATTGTAGTAATTAGGGAGAGTTCAAATGGCAGTTTAAATAATTTCTTTGTATTATGCATGCTGTAGGTATTCTCTTCAGGGCAAGTGAAATAAACTAATGATCGGAAAAAAACTTGATCCCTCAATTATTGAAATTCTTTAGTGTAGAATTTTTTTTCTTGTTAGGTTGCTTTTCCTCTAGTTGTTGAATATTTAGAAACAGAATCTCAGGCTTTAATAAGCCTCACCATTTTTGTCACATGCACGGAATTAGGATTCTAGGCCTACTAGAATCTAGGCCTATCATTTTTGTTAGCCTCTAGAAGCTTTGCACTAGCAAAGGTCTAAGGGTAGAATAGATACTACTGTCCTGAAGGACTATGGGAAAGTATTTTCCCATGAAAAACCTAGCAGCTTTTAGGGAGAACAATAGAAATGCATACTTAACTTGGAATCAGTTATCCCTTAATATTTTACTTTTTCCCTCAGAATATTCCAAGCCTCACTAGCCCTGCTTTCTATATATGCCTCATTTCTCACGTTGGTAATGTCATTTATCTCCCAACATTGTACCTCCCCCACAAGATTTTTTTTTTATCTTCTCAAAGATTTTAAAAATGTTCAGCCTTGTGCAGCTCAGAGAGGAGTTTCTTAGGGCACAAGGAATCTATCTTTGTGCATGCTCCCTCACAGCTGAATAAAGGGGAGAGCAATGCCTTGATCAAAGTAAGAGTTTAAGCAGGACTGGGTTAATTCTTCCACTCATGGTTTAATTGTATTTCACAGCTTCAGTCAGTTATTTCTTTATAAAATTAGAATCATAAAGACAGTTAAGTGTTGTAGAAGCTAGGGGCTATGTGCCAGAAATCATGTACACCACTTAAAAACCTTCTTGGAAAGGTATTGCCATTTACAAAGAATAGATTTTTAGAATAGAATCGAATTAGCGAGATATATTCCATAACTATTCATTACCAAGAGATTTTTAAGGTTGGTTTAGATTGTATATATGAGATAAATAGAAGAGCATATCAGTGTGTTAGGCTATAAAGGAATTTGATTCCAGCTCTTTAAAATAATCTGATAATTATCCCTTATTTTGTCCACAAAAACGATGTCATTTATTGCCATATAATTGCCCTGGCCTGATGCTAGAGGAAAAGCTGGTGAGATGATTTATCAGAATTAGGCAGTGTAATATTTTGAGACACATTAAATTACCAAGACTTTTAACAACCTACTTGATTTCATTCATTGATATTATTGTTTTCAACCTACTTGATTTCATTCATTGATATTATTGTTTTCAACCTACTTGATTTCATTCATTGATATTATTGTCTTGGAGGCAGTAATAAGAATACAATAAGTAAAAGCATCCTGCTTTTTTTAGACTCATAATTGGTACTTTTTCTTTATTTTTAAGTTACTGATATATTTTATTTCATATTACCTTCATTTCTTCATTTAGTCCTTTCACTACGTGAGAAAGCTGTCTTTTAGAACAAAGACTAAAAACAATGAAGAAAAAAAAGCAGTTTAGCAAAACTAAACACATCAAATACGTCTTTTGGTATTTGCAGTATTCCACATCCGTAGTTCCCACCTTTGCAATAAGGTAGAGAGGTGCATTCTTCTCCTGGGGGGCCCCCCCTCCATTTTTAGTAGCCAGGCCTGTGATAGCTGTCATTGGTTGAGAAGCTCCCAGGGAAGAACCCCATCTGCCAATGCAGATTTGCTTTATGTTGGCAGTATAGCCTTAGAGAGTTTCCTGGGACAGAGGTGAAGTGCCTTGCATAGGGTCACACAGCCAGCTAGTATGTATTAAAGGTGGGACTTGAATCCAGGTCTTCCTCACTCCAAGACTAGCTCTTTTATCACCATGCATTCTTCTCAGGGTCAAACTCAGTCATTATAATTTTGGTACGATATCAATTTCATTTCCAAATATATCCCTCTCCCTTCTCTTAGCTAGAGAGCTATCTCATAACAAAGAATAAAAAAGAAAAAAAAGCAATTCAACAAAACTAACCAGTGCGTCATTTGAGTCTGACAATATATGCAATATTCCGCACCATAGACTTCCACCTTTGCAAAGAAGGGAGAGATGTTCATTTTATTATTCTTTTTTGACCTAAGCTTGATCGTTATAGTTATATAATGTTCATTTTTTAAGAATGTTATTCTTTCCATTTACATTATTTTCATTTTGTGTGATTTCCTGTTTCTTCCTTCCCTCTGCATCAATTCATATGTCTTCCCAGGTTTCTATATATTCTTCATGTTCTTTGTTTCTTATGGTGCAGTAATATTCCATTACGTTCATATATCATAATTTGGTTAGCCATTTGTCAGTTGATGTACTTCTACTTTGTTTCCAAAAGTTCTTTGCTACTGCAAAAAAATGCTGCTATAAATTGATGTGTGTGGAACTTTTTCTGTCTTCTACCTCTTTGGGGTTATGTGCCAAGCAGTGGGAACTCTGAGTTAGAGAGGATGAGCATTTGAGGCTCTGTTAACATAATTCCAAATTGCTTTTCAGAATGGTTGTAGCAACACTACCAACATTTGTGTGCTAGTCATGTTTATTTCACATGTATTGTCATTCCTGGGTATTTCTGGATTTTTAAAAAAGTGTTGAATATAAACAGATTTTAGCCCAAATAATATAGACAAGTTCATTATTGATGAAAAGGGTCTGATGGAACTTTCTTCTTGTTTTATGGAATCAGAGTTTGAAGTGAAAAGAGTCTATCCATTTTTTCTGTGTTTGGGAGACAGGGCTACATAAAGAAGCATCGGTGGTGTTGCAGGGTGTTTTGGTTGGAAATTTTTACTTTATTTGGTTTGGGAACATCAAGGTCCATTATTGGCAGCTGTGATTCAGCTTTTATATTGTAACCTTTATATTGTGGTCCAAGCTAGTGAACATAGTTCTAACCCCTTTAGTAGAAGCCATTCCAAATTGGACCATGTGTGATTTATTATGCAAATACCTGATGATTTTTAAAGTTAGCATCTGGCAAGCTATACTCCTTACAATATTTCTATTCAACTAGTTAGAATAGATATTGAGTGGTTGTGGCATCTAATTACCTTGTTCATGTGCATGTCATGACACCAGGGCTTTTGAACTTCTTAAGCATGTAATTTTGTGTGGATTCTCGAAGTGAATTCTGCACGTCTGTGTAAAAGTAAACCCTTTGAATTTCTAATTAGAACTATTAAGTAGTCCCAAGATCTTGTGGGATGATGTTAATTCAACCAGCAGAACTATGTATGTAAGTATTGTCCCCTATGGTGTTGGCCTAGTACCATGACACTCATATTTTAAAGTCTAAGAGTCAGCAGTTATACAGAATGAGTGATGTTTTTCAGGACCTTACATTCATCAGTTGTTCTTTTTTCTTCATTGGAAGATTATTCTTGTGCAGACTGGATTGTTTGAATGGAATAGGAATTCACAGATTGTAGTTGGGTTGTACTGACTACATTGTAATCTTAGCTCTGTTTGTATTTAAGTTGTTAGAGATGATAGAAAGCTGAGATCTGAAGGCTTGTTTTGATTCATGATGTCATATCTTAACATATTTGATATTTGACATGTTATTTTGAGAAGATGTGTTCCTCCCAGAAGTTTTTAAGAATCTCCATCGATGTTCTGTTCTAACCCTCACACCAACTCCCTGAACCACTGCTTTGCCATATCCTTCCCATCTATACAGTATTTTCAAAACCATTCTAGTGGATCACTTGAAGGCAATTTATAATTGGTTTTTGAAATTCTTAGCTCCTCAGTGAATTGTTTGAAAACACAATAAAGCACTGTCCTACTGTGTGCTCTGGCTTCATCAGTATGACAAACATTTATCCATGCATTTTAGTAACTACTAATGGAAGCTACAGTTTACTGTACTGAACCATTTGGAACTAAATACTCTTTCTGGTTTTTTAGATAAAAGTGGCAGAATTGATACATCCAAGGACAACGGTCATACGGTTTGAAAAATTAGTAGAAATTTAATTCTCAGACACTACAAAAGAAATCCCAAGAAATAAAAAATGGTAAGCTGCTAATATTCTTAGCTCTTGCATGTGTATGGTAATCTAGTTCTTTTTAAGATTTATAACTTTGAATTATTTATTTTCCAGCGGCCAATGCGTATTTTTGTGAATGATGACCGCCATGTGATGGCAAAGCACTCTGCTGTTTATCCAACTCAGGAGGAATTGGAAGCTGTTCAGAACATGGTATCTCATACAGAACGAGCACTTAAAGCTGTGTCTGATTGGATAGATGAACAGGAAAAAGTCAGTGGAGAGCAGCCTGAACCTGAAGCTATGGATGTGGTAGCTGAAGAAGAAAACAAAGAAGGGGGGTAAGTTTTTGGCAGGCCAGTGAGCGTAAACAGCTCCTTTCTTTAAAAAAAAAAAAAAAAAAGTGGCCAGTTGACAGTGGGATGACTGGATTCCCAACCAAAATGAGTCTACTTTCATAACATTTATTGGTTTGTCTCTCAGGGAACAGAAGACTGAGCACTTGACCAGGACTCTTCGAGGAGTGATGCGGGTTGGCTTGGTAGCAAAGGGTCTTCTGCTCAAGGGGGATTTGGATCTGGAATTAGTCCTTTTGTGTAAGGAGAAGCCCACAACTGCCCTTTTGGATAAAGTGGCGGACAACCTGGGAGTCCAGCTTGCTGTGAGTATAGCTTTAGGAGCCAGTAGCCATGCCCACTACCTCTAGCACAGACCTAGGATCATTTTTTGGAGCCATTTTGTAAAATTTTACAAATTGCTATCCTCATTTTAGGCCCATATTTTATATGTATCAAATTGAATATTTTCATCTGTGTGGATTAGCCTGGTCTTTTAATTAGTAACGTTTTATACTTCATTGTAAACCTATTAAGCAATGAGCCGTGTCTGTAATAGTGCCCAAAACAAGACTAATTTGTTTGATAACAGAATTATTAAAATTCAGATTTTTATTTCCTCTGATGAAAAGTCAACTTTTGCTGGGACACAGAGAACATAATTAAAGTTCAGATAATCTGAAAAATACAATTTAGCTTTTATTACTCTATGTTGCTTTATATAGTAGAGATGTTCCTACAAAGTTGCAGATAAATTGATATGTGGGTAAATTTTTTTTTAAAGCGGACTCAAGCTGTACTTATTTAATCCTCTCTTAAATGCTTTTGTAAAGCACAAGATTTAGCATCTCTTAGCGTATCTTTTTTTTTTTCAAGTTCAGGTTTTTATATGAATGAGATTTTATTTATGGAAACTACCATCTTTCTCAGCTGTGAAATGACTATGTGGGCGTGTTTGAGGGGGAGTCCATCAAACAGCCTGCTCAGATGACAAAGCTAATAAATAAATCCTAAATAATTTTATCTTTCTTGATACAGGGTTCTAGGTGGATATACTAACTACAACCTAAGGTGAAAAGTGTTGTGAATATTTTTTTTTTATAATTTTGTATTGCAGGCTATTACAGAAGACAAATATGAAATAATCCAATCCATTGGTGAAGCAGCAATTGTAATAAAAAATACAAAAGAACCTCCATTGTCCTTGACCATTCATTTGACATCACCTGTTGTCAGGGAAGAAATGGAAAAACTTTTAGCTGGAGGTATGGAAGGCTGAATACAGTCAGCAGTCGTCTGGAAACTTGAAAATATTGGTGTTAACTCACTATTTAAATGTGCTATTCAGTTTTAGATTGTATTGATCAAATTATGCCTAAATAGATGTCATCATCTTGTCTTAAAGATTAAATCTCAGTGTTCACCTTCGTGAAACTTAAGGGGATTGACAGTGGTTGTGCTAAAATTGAGTAGCACTTTTCATTTGGGACTTCACCATTTTCATTTGGGGCCTTTAGTGTGTTCATGTAAATGTTGTGAAATTGTTTTTGTGTCAATTCATCATGTGGCCCTTTGAAACCGTGAAAACATGGTAACTTTAAAACTCTTTAAAAATTGTTGAAGACTACTGAATGAATTCTGCATGTTCATGGAGTTGGAGATATGCAAACAGTTTGTGTTGCCGCAAAAATGACAGATGCTTCATTTGATCTCTTCATCTGGCCGTTTTTAGTGTTTGAAGTTTACAAAATTCCCAAAGGTGTGATGTGGAGTTTTGGATAAAGTTAGACTCTCATCTAATTATGTTTTTGAAATTATAGGATGACTTAATGTCTGATCATTTGAAAATTTTTTGTTTTGCTCCAATGAATGAATAAATTCTGTATCATAAACATCACACACATGCTCTTTAGTTTGCAAAATAAAGCTTTTGAACTAGCCTTATCTAAAACCCTGATCTACAGATTAAAAGAAAAAAAAATTAACTTCAATTTTGCTGCAGCACAGTCTGAAGATGCTTTTTTTTTCTGTGATCTGTTGATTGCCTTTGGTTCTGATATCTGACTTCGTCTACCAAGCCTTTTAGTTTGTCGACTTTAGGGACGCTGGACCTTTGACCAACAGGACTCTCTCTGTCACAGGCTGGGGCCGAGGCAGTCAAGCCTTGTGGGCGGAAGTGGTTCCCTTTGCTCTAGAAACTTTAAAATGACATTGAAAGCAGAGAGGGATTTTATTTTAACACCCCTTTTTTCTTAGTTATTATAGATTTGTAAATCAGGTAGTTTTGGGGGAGAAAAACCCAGAAAGTAATAACATGTAAAGAAAGGATAGAATTTATAAATCTGCCCTTTAAATAGGACTTTTCCTTTTGCAATAACTTCCCTTTTTGCAGTTTTTAAGTTTTCCTCTTAGGGAAGAGTCAAGTACACTCTAGGTTCTCCTTCCCTGGTAAAGGGTAGAGATCAACATCTTTTGGGAGCCTCAGCTGCCCTTTAGGAAGCTGCCACATCCCCTTTCCACCTGACAGAAACCCCTTGGTCAAACTGTACCTTGTCTTCTTATTCCATCCATGAATAGAAACGCTATCAGTCAACGACCCCCCGGACGTTCTGGACAGGCAGAAATGCCTTGCTGCCTTGGCGTCACTCCGACACGCCAAGTGGTTCCAGGTTTGCATCTTGTTCTTATATTTGTCTTTAAGTAGCAAATTCATAAACTTTAACTGGCTAACTTTATATTAAAGTACTTAACATGGGATGACAGCTGTGCTGAATTTAGCGCCTGTTGAGTACAGTAGCTAAAGGAGCACCTGAATGAATTTAACATCCCAAAAGGGGACTTGTAAAGGAGTAGAGGCATAGTTGCTGCTTTGTGTTAAGAGTAATGTTGCTTTTCTACATCGTAATGACTCAACTATAAACTTTAATGTTGTGACTCTACATTGTTTACCCTTGACAAAGTAGCACCGCAAGACATTCTTTGCCTTTGGTGTGTGGGGGTGCTTTGGTTTAAAGTGCCTGTGCTTTATTACTCTAGGCCAGAGCTAATGGGCTGAAGTCGTGTGTCATAGTCATCAGGGTTCTGAGAGACCTATGCACCCGTGTTCCTACTTGGGCTCCCCTTAGAGGATGGGTAAGGGTACCTTTTGATGGCCATTTCTACAGTTTTATATGTATTTTCTTTGTATGATTTTCTATGTGAATGGCAAAAAATTTCTTGTTACCTGAAACCATTTCCAGCTTCACAGAAATTGTCATTTTGGGAAATAAAAGTGAGATTTTACTATTTTGTTATGTGTGGTTTCACAAGCATGTCTTTACCTAAACTCCCCCTACCCAGAATAGTACTTGAAAATAGTAGTTATTTAATTAATGTTTGTTGAGTTTAATTCAGTCAACTAGAGGGCTTTGATATAGAAAACTCAGATGTACTTTTGGATGAGCCCAAATCCTTTGTTTTAGGAAGAATTGTTGAGCATGTAGAAACCCTCTCATGGAGTTTGCCACAGACAGACACACATATATTGAGGAAAGTAGTTTGTTAGGAATCTTTGGCACTTTTTGTTCCTTTATCATTTTTTTTTTTTAAAAAGTCTCTATCATTTTTTAGCCCTTGGAGCTTCTCTGTGAGAAGTCAATTGGAACAGCAAATCGACCAATGGGAGCTGGCGAGGCCCTCAGAAGAGTGTTGGAGTGCCTGGCATCTGGAATCGTTATGCCAGGTTGGGTGACTTCTCAGCTTTAAAACTTGCAGGGAAAGGAAAGGGACTGAGGCTTGTTCCTCAGTGGTGCATTGACTGGGTTAGGGCAACAGTACCTTGTCCACTACTTAGGGTATAAGCATGTGACTACCCTCTTGCACCATCATATCCAGCCCTGTGCCGGAATCCGCAGCTGTGAAATCAGTGCTTTAGCGGACCGATTCAAGGGCAGTGGTGACCCACTCCCACGTGACTTACATGCTCTGAAATACATGTGGATTATTTCTTAAAAGGGCTGGACGCTGAGTGGGTCACCTCGCTCAGTGTGTTTCCAGAGCTGGGTGTGGATGGGGCGGGAGGGGAAGCACCTGATTCCCTCTACCAACACAACCTCTTCAGAGATGCTAAAAGATAATCCTCTGCATATCTTCCTTGTTTCCTGCCTTCAGATGGTTCTGGCATTTATGACCCTTGTGAAAAAGAAGCCACTGATGCTATTGGGCATCTAGACAGACAGCAACGGGAAGATATCACACAGAGTGCTCAGGTATAGTTATCTCCATTACAAATGTGAACCCTTACCCAGTCTTTAATAACTGGCCTCCAGTTCTGTTACTGGGTATTTTTAGTGTAGCTCTTTGAAACTTAGTCAGATATGGGACCAAAGGTAAATGGATCCTATACTAATACAGGGGACCCCAATCTGGTTTTCTTTTTCCCCATGGTGCCATACGTAGTTGTTTTCTATCCCCAATTATGCTCGAGTGCTGTTTTGGACACTGAGGTCAAAGGGGAATTTTTTCAGTTATTGCTGCTGCTAATAGGGCTCGTTTCCCTGCATAGATATGACATAGCTTCGTATGGCATATGGGCCCTAGTTTGGGAACCCCTGTACCAACAAGAGGGCAAGGGGGATGGTCACAGGCTGATCTTCCACCACAGCAAGGTTGGGGGCCCTAACAGTCAGGATTGAATCCAGGCCTGTTGGGGGCCACCTTGCTGTTGTAGGGGAGAAGTCAGTACTGACACCCAACTAATGGGGTTGGGAGGGTCAGAGACCCCTCATGAATAGTAGTGAGCACACACCATAATTGTAGTCAATGTAGGGTAGACAAGTAAGACTCCTCTTCCCATTTTAGCATGCTCTGCGACTTGCTGCTTTTGGCCAGCTTCACAAAGTCCTTGGTATGGACCCTCTCCCTTCTAAGATGCCCAAGAAACCAAAGAACGAAAACCCAGTTGACTATACTAGTAAGTATCCAACCCCAAATTCCAGTGTTTGGCTTGAATTGTCATCTTGCTAACAACTCACTTCTCAATCTTGGGTTTCAACCTTCATCTTTTTTCTGTATTTGCTCTTCAGTCCAGATCCCTCCTAGTACCACCTATGCCATTACCCCAATGAAACGTCCTATGGAGGAGGATGGAGAAGAAAAATCTCCTAGCAAGAAGAAAAAGAAGATTCAGAAAAAAGGTACTGAACTCCTATCAGATGGAGCAGTTAGAAATCAATAAGAAAGTTGAAAATTTCAGTTTTTCTGGGAACGTTATCGGAAAAGCCTGATTATATATTCTGTGATAATGAAGAGCAGAAAGAACTAAGAATAGTTTTTTCTTAATTTAGAAAATGGTATATATGCTGTTAGGTCAATTGGTAATGGTAAGTAAGCTGACCTGTCAGATTCCTAAAAAGAAAATTGTCTGTGTTCCTATTTAGAGGAGAAGACAGAACCTCCACAAGCTATGAATGCACTGATGAGATTGAATCAGCTGAAACCTGGGCTTCAGTATAAACTGGTCTCCCAAACTGGCCCAGTGCATGCTCCCATCTTTACTATGTCTGTTGAGGTGGATGGAAGTTCATTTGAGGCTTCTGGACCATCCAAAAAGACTGCCAAGTTGCACGTTGCTGTAAAGGTAAGCATACCCCATGATTTGCAGTTTCTGGTTTTATTGACATCGTAGCAAGTCAAGTACAGTTCATGTTCAGCTCTGCTTGAATATTGACACTGTTTGACTATTGAGTGTGGAAAAACATGAGCTTTGAAAAGCCTAAATAGCATTGAAATGTCTGCATTTTTGAACATAGGAACAAAGATTGCTTCTTGTAGGAACATTTGTTGACAGCTCTTGGGGGGGTTCTTCTTTACTCTACAGGTGTTACAAGACATGGGTCTGCCTACAGGAGCAGAAGGTAAAGAATCAAGTAAAGGGGAGGACTCTGCTGAGGAAACAGAACAGAAGCCTGTGGTTGTTGCTCCTCCACCTGTAGTGGAAACTGTTGCTACCCCCAGTGCTGCTTTTCCTTCTCCAGACCAGACGTCGGAGGTGAGCTCCTAGAGGGGCTGTGGCCATGAAAGCTGTGAAGCTCTTTGCCTGGTTCTCATTGACTTGTCAGCTAAGGGGCAGGAACAGCTCTTTCTGTCTAGGCTTTTACGTATGAAGTTGAATACTTAAAAGCCATGGACTTTTAAAGTTCTTGACTGCCATTCCCCTTTTTCCCATATCTGACAAAGTCTGCCCTGAGTCAGAACCCTGGACAGTGACATGGCCCATACAGCTTATAGTGGCTAAGGGGCCAGCCGGGCATCTGATTGTCAGTGTTTCCCTGTGTGCAATAAGGCTACCACTCATTTGGACTTGGTGAACTTGGTGTAAGAAGTACCCTGACTAGATGTGGAGTCTGGAAACATCTAGGTTGGAATCCTAGGTCTTGTACCTTATCACTCTGTAATTTGGGGCAAGTCACTTAACCCACCTGAGCATTTTTCCTCATCTAGGAATTGGGGATAGTAATATAGGTAATAATTGATAATAATGGTAGTAATACAAATGGGGATTGTACTGAGCTTCTTTTACAGGATTGTTGTAAGACTACTGTTTAACCTTTAAAGTACTGAGAAATGTACATTGTTACTGTTTTTTGGCTAATTTTAGAGGAGTCTTTTAAATTTATATTTAGTATTTTTGGTGAGTGTGGACATGCTTAGGAGAAAAGATGACAGGAAGTAAATGGTTAGGCTGATGTAAATGTCCTGGACCATGGGAGCACTTAGACACCTTGAATGTAATTGATCTAAGATATGTTGGCAGATCCCATGTAGTTAACATACCCTATTTGAAGAACTGTTGAATGGGGAAGAAAATGCAAGTAATTAACAGATTTTTAAAAAATTGTCTGCCTGGTCTGAGATCCTGGATAAGCTGTGCTGGGGGTGTCAGCAGGGTAGGAACTGATCACTTGCCTAGAAAATGAGAATGAGGCACAGAAAGTGTCTGAAATTCTAATTGGGGTTTGCATTTTCTTTTTAGAATGTAAAACAACAGGGTCCAATCTTGACCAAACATGGCAAGAATCCTGTCATGGAACTCAATGAGAAGAGGCGTGGCCTCAAGTATGAGCTTATCTCTGAGACTGGTGGCAGTCATGATAAACGCTTTGTCATGGAGGTGAGTGGTACATGTGCCCCCAAAAGAATGCTTTTAAGTTGTCCTTATTTCATTGGGACTAAATGGAGTTGGTTATGCTTCTCAATATATACCTGAAAATTGGTGTTTTCCAGCTTAACGTATTGAAATGTTTTAAGTGCCATTGGTACCCTGGAGGCTAGAATTTTTCCTGAGATGACTTAGTTCTTGATCAGGCACTGAAAAAACTGTTGCTTTCTCTGACTGATCATATTGATTTCATGATCCTCCCATGTACTCGTCCTCTCAGGTTGAAGTTGACGGGCAGAAGTTTCAAGGAGCTGGTTCAAATAAAAAGGTGGCAAAGGCATTTGCTGCTCTCACTGCTTTAGAAAAGCTGTTCCCTGATGCTCCTGTTGCCTTGGAGCCCAATAAGAAGAAGAGAGCACCAGTACCTGTGAGAGGGGGACCGAAGTTTGCGGCAAAGGTGGGTACCTTTGATAGACAATGCTAATACAGTTCGAGGAGGTTTTCATTCTCTCATTTAGTCTTTTCAACACCCTAGCAAGGCAGTTGCTACTATTGTCATCCTTGCTTTATGGTGAAAGAGGGGCTTGAATATTAGGTTTAGTGACTTGTCTAGGGTCACATAGCCAGTTGTTAATGCAAGATTTTAGACCCAGGACTTCCTTACTCCAGGTCCACTGTTTTACCCTCTGTCCCACACAGGAAATAACAGTGTAGATTCCTTAATCTTAATTTCAAGGTACCCTTATGTTTCTCTGAGGGAATATAGAAAGAATATACTGCATGAGCTACTACTGAAATCTCATAAATTATTTGTGTGAGTTTAACCAGGCTGTGTTTTCTAATTTTCTTTTATAGCAGCACAACCCAGGATTTGGAATGGGAGGCCCTATGCACAATGAGGTTCCCCCTCCCCCAAATATTCGTGGTCGAGGTAGAGGTGGGAACATCCGAGGTCGGGGTAGAGGCCGAGGTGGATTTGGTGGTGCCAATCATGGTGGCTACATGAATGCTGGTACGAGTGCAGATTTTCTTCCCTTGCCTGCTTCTAAATTTGTTTTGTAAGACTTTGAATCGTTTAATATGTGGAATTTGAAATCTGCAAATGAGTATTTGTCACCAGTGTCCCCTATTAAAGTCTTCCCAGAGGTTAATTTGAAAGCTGTGAAGAGAAGCCGTCTCTCCTGGCTGTCCTTACTGTGGGCCCAACCAACAGTCGAGTAATTTTACTCTGTCCTGTTCTAGGCGCTGGCTATGGAAGCTATGGCTACGGTGGCAATTCTGCAACAGCAGGATATAGTAAGTGTTAGTTTATGTTCTATCAATTTAAAGTTAAAAAGAAACCCACAAACACTACTTGCCTTAGAACAGTTGAAACCTGGCCTATTTGTACCTAAGACTTAGTAGCACAGCCCTTTTTTGGCAGATGGGACAGGTTGTTGAGCAAGAGATTAATATTGTTTAACCATTAAAGTACAAAACCCATGTGATTTGACAATTCCTTTTTAATATGTAAATATTTTAAATTTCTCTGCTTTAAGCCATGTGAAGCAATACACCACTCTTGTGAATATGCTTTCCTGACAATGCCCAGCTATTTGTATTCAGAAGAAGCCTTCATTGGGGGGTTACAGGAGCAGAGAAATCTAAAACATGAGTTTCATATGTGGCGCTCTGTGCCATCTTCAAAACAATTCTAATTTTTTTTCTCTGCTCTGTCTCCCCCTTTTGTAGGTGACTTTTTCACAGACTGCTACGGCTATCATGATTTTGGGTCTTCCTAGATCATCTAAAAGTATTGCACAAAAAAACAGCTTTTTACTCCAATTTTCTCGAACTCCAAAACCCAAAGTGTCCGTGCTGTGTCCCTGTGCTTCACTGGGTTTCTCAACCGTGGCTTTTCACCGCAGCTTGTCTGAAACTCTTAGCCTGCAGAACTTAAGACAGTGGCAGTTTTTATTGTGATTTGCCTTTGAACTTGGTCGTATTGATGTTCACAATAAGCGGAAAGTAATTTTCAGAGAATGTTTTTGTGCCAAGTTGCACAAAATTCTAGAGCCAGCTTTGTTCAGCATAAAGGCAAAAGCCCACCTTTGCTTTTTATGGAAAGCATTACTTTATTTAAGGGACAGATACAGAAGCATTTTAATCTACCTTTGTCTTAATTTACAGCAGGTTTTGTATGAATTTTAAACCTTTTAACAAACTCCCAAACCTGGTGGTTGATACCTAAGAAAGACTTCACCGTGTCTGAATCTAGTACAGCCCGACTCTTTTTTAAGCATGCACAATGTTAAATTGTATGTGGAATCGTAAGATGTGCTAAGTTAACTTCTCCATCCTTTTGTAATACACTGGTGGGTTATTGCTTGAGGGATGGGATTAATTGTGGCTGATAGCTAGTTAGTGTACTTTCAAAGGAATTGTAACTGTGCTTCCAATACTGGTACAATAAATATCCAGGCATTAAGGAGTTGATGTAAAATTTTGCAAGTCCTGATCACAGCTGAAAATGCATGGATTCAGATTTTTTTATCGGCTTTTTTTATAATCAAGTATAAAGGGCCTTAAGCACTTGACATTGGTTAGCAAACCAGCAGCAGGGATTTGTGTTGCTGGGACTTTTGCTATAACTGACTTTTGGCAAAGACCTGGAAGCTTATCATGACTTCTAATACAGAGGTATGTGGAGTCATTTGGTCATTCCAACTAGATTCTCTTTCACTTGTAAGTGTATGGCCCTTTATTCTTGCTGTAATACTATGTTTTAAATTTGTATGGTCCTCTTCTGTCTTGTTTTGGTCAGCGGTTCTTATCGCACAAAGCCTGCATCTTTGCATTGACTTGCAAGATTTTGAGTTTGTTCAGACACAGAAACTGGTCAAAATGATTACTCACCACTTGTTCAAAGAGGTTTGAAACATTCAGTGAATACTTTTTAAAACTTTTAATGCATGATGTATTTTTTTTAGAAAGTTATTGTTTGAGAATAATGTCTTTTTATACCAGGGAATAGATGTTGTCCTGAATGAGGTGGAAAACTGCCACCCCCTCCCTTTTTTTTTTTTAAATCAATACATGTTAAAGTAAATCATTGGATATTTTGGTGTCTTCATTCATGTTCTTAATTGAGGGAAGAGACTGAACTGAACATAGGTGTTCAAGTGTATGTTAAGCTTAGTGCTGATATTATTAAACCCTTCTTGAAACCTAGATTTGGGGAGGTCATGGAAATATTTGTTTGTAATCTTCCTGAAGGAGAAATATCTGCTTTCCCCATCTCTCCACAATCTCTTCACTGAGCATTGCATGTTTGCTTTGCTGCATTGTTGGATGTGTCTCCTTTCTTGGCGTTTTGGCTTTGTTACTTGAAAATGAGCTTGGTCTAATTGTTCCTCAAGCTGCGCAGGACTCAGTGATAGTGGGTTGGTGGGGGATGGGGTGGGATGAAGGCTCAATTCCGTTAGTCCAATAACAAAAGGCCATGAAATGAATACCTAATAATTAGGATTTGAAGGCCAAGCTGTGCTGGTAGTATTGTTCATCCTTCTTATCCTTTGCCACAGGCTAGGCAACATAGGGACTGGTACTTACCTTTCTGTTCCAGTTACCTGCTGGCAAAGCCAATTCCGTCTTGTCAAGGAAAGCACAATTCGTGGGCATGCCCACTCACAGGGAGCTTAGGTGCTCCTGCTTTCTGCTTGGGGTTACTGGAGTGAATTGGAAAGTGTCATTCTCTGTACCCCTCACCCCCTATATGTCACTTAGGTTTGGGGGCTTGAACTGACTGACTTCTGGACAAATAGAATTGACCCAAACTGTCAACATGTCTGTGTGTACACACACACACACACACACACACACCCACCCACCCACCCACACACCCACACACCCACCCCCTACACCCCCTCACCTGTTCCTTCCCATCCATATACCTGCTATTGAAAAGCCTGAGGTGGTTCACATATGAGACTGACTTTAAATAGTCTCGGTTGTACGAAGCCCTGAGTTACTTGGGCACGCCAGAGAAAAAAATACATGAGGTATCTAAACTGAAGAGCACCTCACACCATGCCTTACATATATAGTAGGTACTTGGTGTTGCATTTTGTTAAAGAAGGGGATCATTATGTCCCAGAGCCAGATGAGAAGGGCTGATGGAGGTCACAGTCTCACCTTCAGTTCCTGAGAATGTGGCAGCTACATCCATCCCATGCTTTGCAATCCCACTGCATGTTCCTGCCTCTCTGGGGCTGTGACCCAGAGCTGAGCTCTAAACCTGGCTCCCAAGCATGGTGCTAGTGACCCATTGGAAAGACCTGCCTGGTCAGAGTGGGGACACATCCTTGGTCCCTTGTCCTGGGGATATCTGGGAGAAGCAGTGCTTGCCTTTTGGCCTTAGTACTTACTAAGTGTGTATTCTGGCCTCACTAGCTCTCTTGCATTGTGGGTTTCTGGGATGAGCCTGAGGGGCACATCTCCACTTGTAAGGGGTAACTGGTCATTTTACTGGGAATGATCCTGTGATGAAACAGTTTATTTTGCCAAGTCTGCATTTGGGGCCTTCTAACCAGCAGGCAATCTCAGAATAATTGTCTGATTTGGCAGCTTCAGTCCAGGCATTCCTTCTTGCTGATACTGCCCCTGGTCAAAGGAGGTTTGTGACTGTAATGAAGACTTGCCTGTCCTTCCAGGGAGATGAGCATGGGCCTGTGCTGGCCTTGTCACAGTGAAGTACAGGGGTGGACAGAGCGGTTTCCATATAACAGTCCCAGACTGACTGCTTCTCGGAGCCTGGGGTTAAAGTCAGCCTTGCTTTTCTTTTCCTTTCTCTTGGGGGAGGGACGTGGCCGGTGGGGGAAGGAAGTGGTTTGACTGTGATTTCATCAGTGTAGGGAACTCCCAGTGTAGAAACTCCCTTCACTGATGCAGATTGGCAACTTGTCTGAAACTTGATGGCCTTAGCCAGTTGCCTGGGGGCATTAAGGGTTTTATTGACTTGCCTTGGGTAATAGGCAGTGTGTGTGAGAGGCAGGTCTGTGAATCTGGGAGACCTGAGATCCAGACTGGCTTTCTGCCATGCCATGTTGCCTCAGCCCTGCTTTTCTGGGGAGCTTTGGGGAGGTCTGGGTTTGTTAAATGGTCCTAAGTCATCAGCTAAACCAGCCCATCTACGATCTTAAAAACATTAATAGCCACTGCAAGAGCTAACATCTTCCCTGCTTACACCTGAGCATCTCCTGAAGGAGGATTAGTTCTTAACATCAGCAGAAAAGAGAATTTGAGAGCAAACCCAGACCAGTTTTCTTCTTGAATGAGATGGGTGACTGCTCAGATTTCTCTGGACCTCAGAATAAGTCCCTAAAACCGTAGCGTTAGCTTCTGTGAATACATGGTGTAGGAGTCCTAAGGGAAGTAGATGTCAGGTATACCCTCAAAGGGGGATTTAACATGAGTTAATTTTACTTTCTTGAATCTGAAATCTTCCCTTTTCCACTCCCTAATTGATGCCATCCCTTCCATTTAGGTCAGTTCTACAGCAACGGTGGGCATTCTGGGAATGCTGGTGGAGGCGGGGGTGGCGGTGGAGGCGGCTCTTCTGGCTATGGGTCCTACTACCAAGGCGACAACTACAATTCACCAGTGCCCCCAAAGCACGGCGGGAAGAAGCAGCAGCATGGGGGCCAGCAGAAGCCTTCTTACGGTTCAGGGTACCAGTCTCACCAAGGCCAACAACAGTCATCATACAGCCAAAACCAGTACAGCAATTATGGCCCACCTCAAGGCAAACAAAAGGGCTATAATCATGGACAAGGCAACTACTCTTCCTATTCGAATTCCTACAACTCCCCAGGTGGTGGAGGTGGATCAGACTATAACTACGAGAGCAAATTCAGTGAGTTGGCTTTGGGTGACCCATGTCCTCATAGCACCTCTATTGAAACCAGGGCATTGGGTGGGGTAGCAAACCCCATGGAAATACTGAAGTTGCTTCTAGTCTGTCAGCTGGTGAAGGCAAGTTGGCATGTTGGGCTACAAGCTCAGGTACTGCTCTGATCAACAGCTGGTAAGATATTATGAAAGTGGGGCACCAAGTGATAGTAGGAAAGAGGATACTTGAGATTTTGCAGGACTTTTATTAAACTCTCAAATTTAATTCCTTAGTACCTATTTTCCTGACTGTTTTACTTAAGGTCAACCCTGTTACATAGCTGGATCCCAGATGAGTTCCAGACCTCTCTATATCCAGAAACTCTGTGCCATGAGCTTCCTACTGGCCCTGGGTGGTTTAGGTTCATGCCTCACCATGAAACAAATCACTTTCCTGAGTGTGCATAGCTATTAGCTAAAAAAGAAACATGTCAATATAGTGATCAGTCCTTAACAATATGGCTTCATTGTTGCTCATAGTGATTTACTATCTTCCCAAATTGAACCTGAGTAGCTTATTTAGTGGAACTGAGGGGTTCTTACCCATCACTGAGCCATGATTGTGTTTTTTCCTTGGCCTTCTACATAGACTTAGATGAATGGATCAGTTGTCCTGGGTACAGGAGTAACATCTGTGGATTTTTCCTGAAACAGTGAAATGGCTGGCATAAATGCTGACTTTTTAAGAAACCACACTAGAGGGGAGTAGAAGGATGGGAAATCTGAGAGGAATTGTCAAGGGGAACTGTCCCAGAAACAAAGCTTGGGTTAATGGTGTAAGTAGGATATTCGACAGAACTGATCTGTGGGATTTTTTTTTTTTTTTTTAATGAGAACAGCTTGGTCCCTGGACTGATCTCATTGAAGGGAGATTGGGTAGGCAGGGACTTTTGTCAGCTTAGTGTGGCCATAGCAAAGCATCACTTAAACATCAGCCACTCCACCTTTTAGAAATATAGTTCGTCTGTCAACAGGTGTAGAGCCTGTACCTTTGGTTCAGGCAACAGAGCTCCAGGCTTCTCCATCTTCTGATGCCTCTTTGCCTTCCTTGATAGGGATCAGGGCTTCCATTGCTAGGTTCTGTTGAGGGGAAGTTAACAGTACTTTGTTCTGCCCCCCACTCCAGATTACAGTGGCAGCGGGGGCCGAGGTGGTGGTGGGAACAGCTACGGGTCAGGTGGATCGTCCTATAACACAGGTTCACATGGCGGCTATGGAGGCAGCTCTGGTGGTGGCTCCTCCTACCAAGGCAAACAAGGTTGGTGTCTGTTCCACCTGGGATTGGGGTCTTGGAAAGGGTGGTGGGAGAGAGGGCATAGCTGCAACCTTCTCATCCTAACCCCAACTTATATTTTCTGTCCCTACTCTCCCTAGGTGGCTACTCTTCACAGTCCAATTACAACTCCCCAGGCTCAGGCCAGAATTACAGTGGGCCTCCCAGTTCCTACCAGTCTTCGCAAGGTGGCTATGGCAGAAATGATCACAGCATGAATTACCAGTATAGATAAACTACCTTTACTCCCCAGGGGTGAAGTTTTGTTACCTTCTGCACTCGCCCCCTCCCCCCCAATTTGAATATTCAGTTTTATTGCATCACAGTTAACATGTCAACCCTTCCCCCCAGGTTCCATGTTGCCGTGTTCTGTGTGATATGCAGGTGGCTACTCTGATGGTGGCATCTCCCTGTAATTCCATACTTAGCTGTGTTTGGGACATCTGTGTATTTAATGGTTTGTTAGTTACCATTACAACTTTGTCTGAATAGAGTTTTTGAGTTAATACAACTCAGTATCCCTTCGTCTATTTAACATTGGTGTTAGTGTTAACTAAGTTCGTCTTTAAATAGTTACGTGAGGGATACGTCATCTGTTAATGCTTTTGTGAAGTGAGTTAAACAAGCTTTCTGTATTTTAATGCTTTAGTGTTTCAGTTTTATAAGTGAAGATTTTATTTTAAAAACCAGTGGGAAAGAGTGGGGTTTTTTTTTTTTTTTTTGTATGTCTGGGTCATTCAGGCAGGACATCTGAATTAAGCTGAATGTAGACAAATAAAGATAAAGAAAACTCTTTGGGCCGATGTCTGGCCTGCGTGTCTGTCCCACCAACCCTGGAAAAGCTGCCACCTCAACTGGTCCAAAGCCAGGGAGAGAGCAGGTACAGGGAGGCAGGTAGGGAAAGACAGGTTGGAGGGGCAGGATTTTCTTGGGGCTTCTTAATTCCCTGAGCTTTTGGAAATAAGCATCCTTGGTAGGTTAAGTCTTTCTGTCCATGAAAAGCCATTAA